CGTGGAGTTGCCTTTCTGGATAGCAAGTGATAGGATGAAAGCTTTGTCACGGGGCGAGGGGGTTCAGGAGTGCAGCCAAGAAGCGGGGGGGGAGCATGGAGACGGATCAGGCAGTGGTTAGTCAGAGTGCCGCTTTCCTGCAGTTTGTGACGTTTCTTGCAATCGCCTTTTTAAATTCTTGGAACCTGTTTCTTTTCTCATTCTGTTCTCTTTTTGTGGCTAATTTTGTACTTGTAGTTTTGTAGTCTTTTGGGAAAAAAGCCCCCAAGTCTATAAACTGCAGCGGGGTGCTCCTTGGGGAGCGTTAGAAGGTCATTGACGCTGGGGCTGTCGCCTGGCAGAGCAGTGTGGCCTTCTCTACCTGCGCTGGCCTTGTCCCTGGAGCACTGCCCCTACACGGAGGCCACCGTCGGAACGGCCGGCCGTGGGCAGCACCTGCTGTGCATGTCGGAGCCAGCTAAGCTGAGCCTAGCCGGGTGGCCGGGCGCAGGGCCCAAGGTGGTGCAGCTCCACGGTGGCCCCACCTACCGGATGGCACATGACCCAGGGCTGAGAGCTGGGCACAAGCCCGGCTGTGCTTCCTGCCCCTGCACTAGAGGGGCCAAACCCCTGGAAGCCAGCCTCCAGGAGGCCCCTGGCCAGGGTCTCGCTCTTTTCCCGCCTAGGCTACTGGCCTGAGAGCGTCATCAGCACCAAGGCACCAGATGCAGGACAAACCCCTCCTGGGGAGGGCAAAACAAGGGGAGCCTGGGTCGACGGTGGCCCCGAGTAGCTGCTGAGCACCCCGAGTCAGTGACCTGTGGCCTCTTGCGCCCTCATGCTGGGGGTGCCTCTCTGCCCTGTGACCTGGGATCCACCCACCCCAGGTCCAGGGGTGGGGCAAGGTCAGGGGCCTGGCCCAGTTCTTCAGCCAGCGCCTGTCTGCCCAAAGCCCAGGCCTCACGGTGAGGACAGAGATGTGGGTGAGCTCCCTGCCCGTGACCCTGCTGTGGGGGCCTGCCCAGCGGGATAGGGAAGGCTCCCCGGGGAGTCTTTGGTTGGCATGCGTGACGTGTGTGGGTGTGTGCGTGTGGCTGTTGGAGGAGGCACAGAGAGAATGATTCCCTGGGGGTGGTTGGGGGTTTGCTTATGTGTTACTGGACCGTTCATGTCCCCCAAATTCGTATGTTGGAATCTATCTTCATTGTGCTGGCGTGAGGAGGGGCCCTCCGGGAGGCGCCCTCACAATGGGCTCGAGCCCCTGTCAGAGGAGATGTGACAGCTTGCTTGCCGGCTGCCCTCTGCCCTGCAGACGCCCAGTGAAGGCAACCGGCTGTGAACCAGGAGAGGCCCACAGCGACTCCCCGCCTCCAGCACGGTGGGAAGGAGCTTGTCCAAGCCTCGCACGTGGCAGCATTCTGTTCTAGTGGCCTGAGCCCGCTGAGACACAGTGTCCCTTCCGGCGCCCACCCCTCCTGTGGGCTGCCCTCCCCACCTGGTCCCCGCCCACCCAGTACCCACCCACGGGGTCCCCGAGTTTCAGAAGCCACCTGCACCGGAGCTTGGTGCTCAGAGCCCCTGCTTCCGCCCTGGGTCATCCTTGCAGACAGACCCGGTGGCTGGCTTTGAGGGGCGCCGATGATGGGGAAGGGCCCTGCTGAAACCCTGCCCACCGGGCCCCCACCTGCAGCTAAGGGGCTTGTGCTGCTTGCCACAGGCCAGCCCGGGGACGGGGGCACGATGACTCTCAGGATGGGGGGGCCCTCTGGCCACAGAGAAAGGTCCCCTGTAAGAGTAGACACACTAGAGCCAGGGAATCGGCCTCCGTGCCTGTTGCCAGTGGTGACCAGCTGTGAACCATGTTGTTTCTTCCTTAAAGAAGCTTAACGCAGGTCTGAGATGTGGAAACGTCTTGCCTGTAAATATGTATGAAACTTCAGGACCGCAATCCCGTGTCGCGGTCAGAAAAGGAACACTAATTTCTTCCCACCGGCCGACACACAGTCATACTCACGTGTCCCCACTAGCTGTCCTTTCCCTGTAACTTTGTCAGCGGGGTGCCACACGCAGCCGAATCGGGGGGAGGGCAGGCGGCCGGCCACCAGGGCACATCTGGCTGGTTCGGTCCCGGGTGCTCGTTGCTGCAGGCCTCCACGTTCAGGACTGGGCCCTGGCTCCCCTCGTTGGCTTCTGCTGTCCTCATTTCCTTTCTTCTACTTTCTTTGAACCTAAATCTCTCTCTTGCCAACACGTGACAGCCTTGCTCATGGCTCTTACGCTCGCCTCCTTCCCTGATCCCGGCCCACGGTCATGGCGGCCCGCCTGCGCCCTCCCCGCGTCGCCGGGTCCTCCCTGCAGGGCCGCTCGCCGGGCTGGTCCAGGCACTCGGACGCGGCCTCCAGCCTTCGGGCGCCAGGGGCCAGAGCCCTGCATGGCGGCCAAGGCCTCCGCTGGCCTGCGCCTGAGCCGTTGGGGCGAGCGGAGCTCCCTGTCCCTCCAGGCTGGGCTCCCGCAGGCTCAGAGCGCAGGTCTGGTCTTCTTCCAGCGGGTACTGCTCTGGGCTGCCGGTCTGTGGCTCTCGCCAGCGTCGGGGAGTCCTTAGCCATTCTCTCCTCTGGGCTTCTGCTTCTGGGCCTCCGATGACGCAGGGGCACACTGCCTGGCGCTGCCCCCGGGTCCTGGGCACCCCGTCCTGTGTCTTCTCCCTCTTTCTGTCCCTCTGCGTCCTGCTCGGATGGTTTCTACTGACCGGTGCGTGCTCATGGACTGTTCTGTGTCAGGTCCGCCATCGGGCCCTTCTCAAGAATGGCTCGCGGGTGGGGTGATGGTGTTCATTCCTGGCGCTTCCATTTTGTTCTCCTGTGTGATTTCCGTGTCTCTCCCGTGTGTGCTCTCCTTTCCCACTGGATCCTCACCACTTCGTCCAACGCCATTTTACGGTCTCGGACCTGCACCGTTTGGGCCATCTCTGCCTCTGCTCCTGTCCACCAGGGATCAGGGATTCTCGCATTTTTGTGGCCTTGCCATGTCTTGCTGACTGCGAAGCATTTGGTAAGAGAACAGCAGAGACTGAAGTCTGTAGCGAGGAGCCGTCAGGTTCCTGGAGGGGCTGAGTCTTCGTCCGCCGTCGGGCTGGGCCCGGGCCCCGCTGCAGCTCCCGGAGGCTTCCCGCATCTCCAGGTTCCTGCAGGGCTGCTGCTCAGCGGGGCCCAAGGTCTGAGCCCTGGCCAGGCTCTGGACATCAGCCTGCCTTGCAGAGCCCGGCCGCCATGTTTGCAGATCACTGGAGGCTCCCTTTGCCCCCACTCCAGGTCCTTCCAGCCCGCCATGGCCTGGAGTGCCCAGGCAGGGGCCCAGCTGCCCCGCGGAGCCTCTAGAGTGGGTGGCAGGAGCCCCAGAGCACCCCTCAGAGGAAGGTCTCTCGCTTCCCTGGCCCCTACTTCTGAGAGAGGCTGGCTTCTACTTGGGGATTTTCCATCAGCCTTCTCTCCTTGCACCCTGCTCTCAGTGCTCAGCAAAGGCCGAGAGCTGGACGAGGGTCTCTGGGGTCCCCCTTCTCCCGCTCTGCCCCTGGGGGCACTGAATTCCATTAATGTAGATTCCTTGGTATCCTCAGCTCTGTGATTATTTTGAACCCTGACTTTCTAGCCGACGGGGCACATTCTGGTCGGGGTGACAGGGGCAGCCTCTGAACCAGAGGGGACCAGTCAGCACTCACTCTCCCGGTTCAGAAGGCCCCTCCTTGAGCAGCCTGGCCAGACACCCGGACACAGCATCAGAGCCAGACTTGATGTCTGCTTGGACGCAGACTGAGGGACAGGGACAACCCTGGCCTCTGGCGTGGGGGACAGAGCTGGGGGCGCTGGGCTGGCTTGGGTTCAGGAGAGGTCTGCCAGCAACGGGGCAGGGAGGCAGCTGTGGGGAGTCCAGTGCCCGCATCTGAGAGTGACTCAGGGGAGGAGGCAGAACACAGAATGGCCTATTTTGGGTTCAAGTCTGACTTTCACCAAAGGCTGGGAAATGATGGCACATCCCAGGGCGGACGCTGCCCTGTGGCGGAAGCAGCATGGCAGAAAAGCAGTTTCCAAATTTCCATCTTTCTGGCTGAAAAAGAAAAATGAGGGCAGATTTCCCAAACCTACAGCACTAAAAAAAATCTGATTACCCCTTCACATAAGACACCTACAGTCTGGTGGAGAGTGACCGCTAGCGCGCTTCTCCCCGCGACAGGCGACATCTGCTGGTCACTGTTTGGGTCTGACTCCGGGGTTGACGGAGCTGGCATCTGAGGCCAGCCCCCATCCATGCTCTCCAGGCAGCAAGTGTGACCCGTGCACACAGGACAGCGCTGGGAGCCAGGCTCCACCAGACAGACAGGCCAGGGGCTTCGGGCAGGGACAGCCTGCGACCGCAGGACTTCTGGCAACAGTCCCCACAGAGCAGATGAACCAGCAAGAACATGGGCTTGTCCAGGCCATTTTATTTAATAAAATTTTACAAAAATCAGTGCCTCCACCAGAACCAGAGAACGCTTGCTCGGAGTCAGAGAGGAGGGCCAGATGCAGAGAAAGGCTGCCAGACAGGCAGTGGTGCAGTAAGTGCTCCCAGGGCCTTCGCTCTCCCCCAGGTGTGACAGGAACGTGCTCCGGACTCCCTGAGCATGTGGACGCCTGCCTCCTGCGGACAGTTCCACTGAGAGCCAGGCCACCTGGCTTTGCCCCTGGCGGTGCCACGCAGGCAGCCAGGCCTGGGTTCATCCCTGGGCATCCCCAGGGGCCGACAGCACCTGCACCAGGCAGAGGGCCCCCAGTGCCACCTTGGTTCATGTCATGCTGGGGCAGAGCTCCTGGGGACCCTGGGCACCCCCTTCCTGTTGAGACTAGCTCTGCCAAAGGACACGCTCTTCTAAAGTGGTCAGACCCCAATATGCACCAGGGGGCGCAGCACGGGTGTGCACCGGGCATCCCCAGAAACATGCCCACAAAACAGTTCCGGTTTCCAGTACCAAACCAAGCCAGTAAGAAAATGTAAAACTCCTGATAAAAATACAAAGTATTCCCGTTTTAGCAAACGTCACTATTAAACAAGGTCATTTTTAGGTTACGTGGATTGAAGATCTTCTTTTTCCATGGAACTGTGAGGTACTGCCCGTTTCTGTGTAAGGGGGTCTTCAGAAAGAGGCTGCATGCAAGCAGGTTCCCCTGTCTGCCGCCGGAAGTCCCTGAGAGCTGATGGGAAAGGAAGGGCATGGTCAGGGCCTACAGAGGCCAGTGGGCTGTGTGCCCCTGGGGCCGGCCTGCTGCACCTGCCGCTGGGCCCCGTGGGGCTTTCTCTCCTCCTGCCTTAAGCTCCTGTCATTGTGCAGTCAACACGGAGGCGCATGGGATGGAGCGGACAGCTCCGTGGCTTTTCCCAGAGCAAAGGGGACACCACACTGGGAGGACAGCCATGTCGTGTGCCCAGGGCCATGCAGGCCTCCTCATCCCAGGTGATCCTATTACCCTGTCCTGAGGGCTTAGGTGGGGTCACAGGGCCCTTCCTGCTCTCGTCTGCAGTGTCCATGGATTTCCACCTACCAGCCGCTGTGGACGTGTAAGCTACTGTGAATGATGCTACGATGGCCATTTCTTTGTCTTGCTGCTCTAAGATGCCCCTGCCTGCACTTCTAGAAGTTTCTACCTCCTGCCTTGTGGGGTTTCCCAAAGAGCAGATGGACCAGCGTGCTTTGACGTCCCTGGAGATGGCCCTGGCCTGTGCAGCTGGATGACAAGGGGCCTCCCCTGCACTCGCTGTCCACACCAACCACCATCAGAACAGACCCTGGCGGTGGACATCCCCCAGGTGCCACTACTCTCCTGGGGCAGGGGTGCATGCAGAGTGAACCCCACCTGTGCTCCGGGTCCCGAGGGAAACAGGCCCCTGCAGACTGGGCACTGCTCCCCACAATACCCGGCCCATGAGTGGGCAGGCGCCCCCACTCCCAGGAAAAGCTGTGCCCTGTCCTCAGAAGAGGGCAGCAGAAGCCCCTGTCTATGCACCCCTGCCCCCCGCTGCCCAGCGGGGCCTGCAGCGCCCCTCACATGTGCCTCCTCACCCATCACCCCCCTGCCCTGCTGCTTCCCTGCAGCCCCTCCTACAGCCCACCGGTTGCCCGTGACGCCTGCGCACCTCCCAGCGCCCTTTGGTGCTCTGCCCGCCCCAGATGGCCGCAGTGCTCCTTTCTCCCGAATCTGTGAGACTCAGGTAGCAGGTGCCAGCACATAGACCCATGCGGCCAGCAGGGCTGTGGCCTGTCCCGGGGAGCGGCTCACCTTGGTCTGGATCAGGGCTCTGCAGGGCTGCAGACGGAAGGTGGGCACGCCCAGTTCTTCAGGCTCTTGGAGGTCGGAACATTCCAGAATGTGACCCAGGTCTCCGGAAAGGTTCTAGTGAGATAAGCCACTGTCACACGCGGGGAAGGAAGATAAAGGACCACTTTCTCTGCGTTTGCCTTGTTAACCCAGACCCCTCTGGCACATCCCACCATTAAACTGCCACGTGGTCATGACTCAGTGTCCATGGAGCCAAGGCAGCCGGTCCCCACCCTCCTATCACCAGGCTCACAGCCACCCTCTCCTTCCAGACCCACAGGGCCCTCCACCTCAAGTCTTCTACCGCCTCCAGAGTGAGCCCTGCCCCCCCCCCCCCCGGCCCCCCCCGGACCGGCCCCCCCCCCCCCCCCGCCTGGCTGCACCTGGAGCTGCCCCCCCCAGCCTGGCTGCACCTGGAGCTGCTCCACCTCCCCGCCTCCTGTTCAGGCTGCCTGTCCCCTTCCCCATCCTCCAGGCTATTTTCCTTAAAAAAGCTGCCAAGGTGGCCTCGTCAGGCCCCTCTGGCTCCTTGCAGCCCTCACGTCCCTCCTGGCCAGCCCCACTGGCCCCGAGGCCCATCAGCAGCCATCCCCAAGGCCCCCGTTGTCACTGAGGTCCGCCAGCCCCTTTTAGGTTTTCCACGTTTGAAAATTGCCATAATACTAAAAACCAGAAAAGGGTCTTTGCCAACTTGATGGCTGAAAGACTGCTCTGGATACAATTTGCATTTTCTCTGGTAACTGGCCACCTCTCTGCTCCAGCTTTGCTGGCTCCCACCTCAGGTGCTAGGGACCCACCTGGTGGCTAACATCACCTGTCTGCGGGCACCTGCCACTCGCTGGGCGCAGCCCCGCCCCCAGCCCCTGAGCAAAGGCCGCTGCTGCGTGGGGCACTTCTCCACCCTCCCCTCTGCTGGGAGCTCCTGTGCCCCGCCCCGCATGCAGTGTATGTCCTCCGCTCGGCCACGGCACCTCCTCCACCACGTGTCAAGGGTCCGGCCGCATTTGGACATCTGTCAGCCTGACACAGGGCAGGTGCCTGACACCGACGAGCTGACCCATCTCTCCCCTTCCCTGCCTGCGTTGCTGCATTCCCCCCCAACCACCACTGGAAACCAGTGTGTTTTCTCCCCCACCTGCTGTTTTCTGGTAGCAAGGCCCCCCTACCCTCATGCCGTCTGTGTAGATGGCTCCCTGCGGCCTCAGGGTGGCCAGCAAAGTCGCTGTGGAGTCCAGCTACACCCCCAGGAGCCCCGTGTCCACCTGACTCTCACCTTCTGAGCGGCATCTATTCCAAGAACGAGGAAGAGATTTTCCTGGCAACGGGACTCACTCCAGAGGCATCGAGAGGCCGATGTGCTATTTGTGTTCTGAAGAGCTCTCCAGAGTTTTCTAGATTCAGAACTGGAAAAGAGATATGTTAATTAAAGAAACTGAGAGGGGCGCCTGGGTGGCTCAGATGGTTAAGCGTCTGCCTTTGGCTCAGGTCATGGTCCCAGGGTCTTGGGATTGAGCCCCGCATCGGGCTCCCTGCTCCGCGGGGAGCCTGCTTCTCCCTCTGCCTCTCTCTCTCTCTCTCTCTGACTCTCATGAATAAATAAATAAAACATTAAAAAAAGAGAGACTGAGAAACCTTCAGAACAGAAGCCAAGAGATCACCTGCCCCCAGGGATTGTGAGAACAGAGTGCTCCCTTCTGGGCTGAGTTATGTGTTGCTTTCTTCAGACGATATGTGCCCCCCGATGAATACCCCACTCCCACCCTCCTCCCCTGGCACCGCCTGGCTCACGGTCACAGCTGAGCGGCACCTCCAAGGGGCAGACGTCCTGGAGGCCCGGTGCTTCACAGTTGTGTTCCTGGTGATCACAGGGACCACAGGGACACTCGAAAACTAGGGGTGGGGCAGTGACTAGAGGACGACCACTGGGAGTCTGTCACGCACCGTCCACAGCTACTGGCCACCCCCCCATCAGCCACGTGCCATCCACGGCTGCTAGCACAGCTCCCGCGAGGGAAGGGAAGGTGTTCACACAAAGAATCATGGGAGGGGCAGTTAGGCTAAGTGCCCACATCATTTCCAAGTCGTCGTCATGCTTTCAAACCCCAAAGTCACAGCCACCTCCCGTCACACACCAGTGTCCAGCCCTGCCAGGCCTGACACCCAGGACCACCCATGTCTCTGGGTGTCGGAGGCTCATGCTGCCACCAAAGGCCCTTCCACCTGCCTGCTGGCCCGGCCCACGCCTTGGGAAAGCACCATATCCAGAGGGCACACGGTGGTGACAGCCTTCCAGGCTCCAGGCCTCTGTCTCCGTGCCCCTGGCGGGACTCCCTGGGGTGGGCCCTGACTGGACCCAAGACTGGAGCCCAGAAGGGCTGGTGTGCAGAACTCTCTGACAAAGAGGGCATGGGGTCAGGGAAGCCAGCTCACACCACCTTTCACCTCCTCCTCCTGCGGCCTGGGCTCAGCGGACCTCGAGCTTTTCGACCACATGCAGGGAGCTGCACTTGCTTTCTCTCAGTGCCCAGTGAGAGCACGTCTGAGGACACAGCCGTCTGCGCACACCTGCGTCTGTGATGTCCCAGAGCACGGGCCCCGGGGACCAGAGCCTTCCCGCTAGCACCAGATGCACTCAGGCTGGCTGACCCTGTGGGTTCAGGCTGTCCCTCGGCGGCACCGGCATGTCTTCTCTGTGGCTGAGGATCAGTCCGTCAGGCCCCCCAGGAGGGCCCCGTGCCCACGGCCCAGGCCCTCAGGCCCTTCCACACCCCCAGCACTTGCACTGAGGCACCGGGAGCTGGCGCCCCCGTCGACCTTGTTCCAGGTGAACATGGCTCTGAGAGGGGTGACCATGGCCAGAGCATCGACCCGTGCTGCCTGGTCCCTCCGTGAGGACCCCATGACCCCAAGGCTATGGGAACTTCGGGAGTGACGGGCTCTCTGTAAACGTCCAGTTGGTCAACCGAAATTATAAACTGAGACTTGTTGTAAGAACGTAAGTCCCTTACCACAGTTGCTGTCCAGATTCACAGCCGGGCAGTTCTAAGATGCAGTCTAAGGGGGGGATGCCTTCAGTTGCCTGCTGGACTGGTACTTCTTGAAAAACAAACCTGAACACATCCTCGTAGGTGGGCAGAAGCTGGAAAAAGAAAAAAACACACATTACATCCCCTTACCCCCGATACGTAGTTTTGGTGCAAATGAAGTGTGTGCACAATCAGACCATCACTGCTGCCACAGCGCGACACACTCGCTCCCCAAAATCTCTGCTCTGCACACTCCCGATGAGAAGCACAGGGCGTAGAAAGTGGGATTAGGGCACAGCACTCATAAGCTTCGTCAGTGACACACGAGAAAGAGGCACCTGATAAAAGTGTTAGTGTTTCCCGCGTGTTAGCTGGCTGGGAAATCTATCCACACGACAGTAAAGGTGGCCCTTCCTGGACGAAGACCTGAGGTCAGAAGGTTGGGAGTTAGTGTGAAGTGCTGGAATGAATGTCCAAAGTCTGGCAGGAGGTGACAGGAGTACAAACCAGGGGGACTGGAGGTGAGGGTGGGGGTGCACACTGAGCGCATGCTGGAGGTGAGGGTGCGTGTGCGCACTGAGCGCATGCTGGAGGGGAGGGTGGGTGTGCGCACTGAGCGCATGCTGGAGGGGAGAGTGGGTGTGCGCACTGAGAGGCTGGAGGTGAGGGTGGGTGTGTGCACGGGGTGGGCTGGAGGTGAGGGTGGGTGTGCACACTGAGCGCATGCTGGAGGTGAGGGTGGGTGTGCGCACTGAGAGGCTGGAGGTGAGGGTGGGTGTGCACTGGGCAGGTGGAGGTGAGGGCAGCTGTGCGAGCTGGGAGGGCGGGGAGCCCCGAGAGCTGTTGGAGGGGTGTGTGTGCTCAGTGCATATATTCACGTCAGCAGGGTGCAGTTTTCTCTCTTCACCTAGTGTCTCTTGCAAAGTTCACATTATTGTCAGATTGTTCCCTGATCTCTTCGTCCCAGTGGAAGACAAGTCTGTTTTCAGAACAGCGGGCTAGCAGAGCGGACTGCATGGAGGGCGCCTCCCGCCAGAGGTCCAGGGAAACACTGGTTCAGGAAGCAAACCGTTCATCCCTAGAACCAGCGAAACCTTTTCTCTCATTCCTTACTCATCTGACTCCTTTTGTTCTCGTGGTGTTCGGGGGTTTCAGGGTAAGCCCTCGGGAAGAGATGGCAGAGGAAAAGGAGCAAGGGAAGGAAGCGGAAGACAAGAAGGATCAGATGCAGTCATAAAAAAGGTGAAACTGGTGGTCAGGTGAGGAAGGGCAGCGCCCTCGGCGAAGGGGACGCGGCCTGGGATCTCCAGGCCATCTCCAGCACCCGGTCATCACACACAGGCTGGAAGGGACTCTTGGTGAGGCTTTCTGAATAAGGAGAGTAACAATTCGGACAAAAAGCTCTTTCCCGGTGTGCCCTGAACGGAGCGGGGAAAGGTGGGCTGGCGGGATGGTGGAGGCCCAGTGCCTGGACTCAGGAGCACTGGGCACAAGCACTCGCTCCTGACTCGCCCCCCAGTATGGTCCAGCCTCCTTCCTTCCCTGGCTCAGGACAGGCCAGCCAGCCACACAGGCAGGGACCAAGGCCGGGAGAGAAGCAGACCCCCTCCCGGGCCAGCCCACCGAAGCCGGAGGGTCTGCTGTAGAAATACCTCACAAGGTGAGCTGCCCGCGGCTCCTGGCACCCCAGGCCCGCCCTGGGGAGGCTGGCGAGAACCACGCTCCTTTTGGGTAGAAGCCACTGACTGCCGCCGAGGATGAGGGGGTCTCTCCGGGAGCTCAAAGTTTGGGGAGAACTGTTCAGACTTGGCCGAAGATTCTTGAAAGCCTTCAAACTCCCCCCAGGCGCTGTTGTGCTCCCCGGGGTCCGGGCCGCCGGCGGGGCAGGTAGAAAAGCCCTCCCCGCCCCCGGAGAGACACTCGGCGCCAGCGCCTCTCCGCCCCCCTGGCGCCTTGCTTGCACCGATGTCTTTAGAAGCCGGGCAGAGGGAAACGTCGCCTGCTTCCTCTGCGAGGTCGCTCCGACACCTGCTGGGAGGGGGTGTCTGGCCAGGCCCTGCCCCCCGCTGCCGCTGGCCCTGCATGTCGGTGCCGTCCGGGCCGCGTCCACGCGATGGGGAGCTGGGGAGGTGCTCCCGAGACACCCACAGCGCTGCGCCAGAGCCGCCCGGGGCTGCACGGGGTGGGAGCGCGGGGGGTGGGGTCGCCCCGGGGCGGGGAGGAGGGCAGCCCGGGGCCGGGGTCCCCGCGAGGGCCCGGCCTGCGGCCCCCGCCCGCACCCACCTCGGCTCACGGGAGCTGCGGCCGCCGCTGTCCCCACGCCCGCCCGTTGCCCGGCAACGGAGCGCGCTGGCCCCCGCGTCCGGCGTCCGGCGTCGTGACGTCAGCGCGCTGGCCCGCCCCGCTGTGCGCCTGCGTGTCCCCCACCCCCCACCCCGGCCCTAACTCTCCGCCCTCCAGGAGGAGGGCTTCACTGGAGCGGCCCCGCGCGCCTCTGGAGCCCCGACTCGCCAGCCCGCCCCGGGCGCGCCCTGCCCGGTTCCGCGGCGCGCGCGGGCCTCTGGGGTGGGGCGGCCTCCCGCACCGCGCGGCCGACTCCCGAGTCCCAGGGCCGCGCTGTCCCCAAGCGTAAGGGAGGCTGGCGGTCCGCCGCCTGCGGGCCGGACCGGGGGCGCAGCAGGCGCAGTGTGGGCCCTGGACAGCCAGCCCCCCTCCTGCTGCCACCCGCCCCCGGGCAAGGGCACCACTGCGGCAGCCTGGCCCGCCCGCCAGCTCCCTCCCAGCCCTTCCAGACCTTTCCCCATCCGCCCCCACCTCCAGGCTCAGGAAGTCCACCTCGCCGAGCGCGCTTGACTCCAGCCTCCCCAGAGGTGACGGAAACCCTGATCCACACCCCCGCTCCCCAGGCTCCCTCCATCCGCGCGTTTCTCCACCCTGTGACCTCCCTGGGCCCTGTCCTGTTGGCATGAATCACCCTCTCGCCCTGGTCCTTGTCAGCCCAGCTACTGAAAATTTTTAATTTTGAAAATTACCAGATGAGCTCATCGCTGACTCCCGGACTGCAGCCTCCTGTCCCCTCCCGTGCTTCCTGAGGGGTACACCAGCCAGCAATGCAGTGTGCAAGCAACGCAGTCCGACTGCCCAGCTCTGGGCAGACACCTGGGTGACCCTGGGGGAAGGTGGCCAGATGCCGGCTGTCCTGCCTGGATGTCACCCCAGGGACAGTGTTGGTCCCAGGCATTTCTGCTGTCTACCCAGTGCTTGAACCCCCTCATCCACTGTCCTTGCTGTCCTCGTAGTGCAGGGAGGGAAGGGAGTAGGAGAAAAGTTGTCCCTGTGTACAGGTGGGCAAACTGAGGCCCGGGCCCAAAGGCCCGAGTGCGAAGTGTTGCTGGGGCTGGAACCAGCTCTTGGGAGCTCAGCAGTTTCCCACACCCTGTGTGGGCCTCGGCGAAGAGTGAAAATGGCGCTGTGACCTTCAGGGTACAGGTGGCTGACCTGTCTTACTAGCTGTGGTGGATGAATACTGCCGCCCAGAGGTGTCCACGTCCTGGTCCCCAGAACCCGTGAGTGTGGGACCTTAACAAGGCCTCACGAGGGACTTTACAGACATGGTTACGTGAAGGCTTTTGAGATGGGGACAAAGTCCTGGGTTATGCCGTTGAGCCCAATGTCCTGGCAAGGAGGAAGCAGGGGGGTCCGAGTCTGAGGAGCTGGAGAGACAGAAGCAGAGGTCAGAGAGATGCAGGGCTCTGAACGAAGGGATGCGGGCCACCTCTAGGACCTGAACAGGGCAAGGAAGTACACCTCCCTGAAACCCCAGAAGGAATACAGCCCTACTGACACCTGGAGCCGCGAGGGAATGAATGTGTTGGTGTAAGCCACTGTGTGGTTATTTGTTACAGCAGTGACCTCTGACTACTAAAAAGGTGCTGCCTTGGGGGAGCCAAGACTCAGAGGAGGTGGCAGAGGTGAACTGACATAGGGTGCTCGGTCCTGGCTGCAGGTTTTGGGGGGGGTGTAACCCACGGAGCTGACAGCTGGCTCCTGGCTCCTCTGGCCAACCGAGCCGACTGGGCACGAGACGTGGGGCACAAGCCGAGGGCCAGGCCTCCAGGAGGGGGGGGCGGGCGGGGCAGGGCCGGTATCTGTTCAAGTTGAAGAGGCTTCACCTGCTGAGGGAGACTGGTCAGAGGGGAGCATGGCGCCATTAAAGTGGGGTTCAGGGGACACAAGCACGAGTGGAGGGGCACAGTGCAGTCAGGAGGAAGAACCATGTGGCCCCCCCAGGCTCCTCTCGGGATATCTCGGTCCATTCCCCTGAGGAACAGGGGTGGGGGACAGCTTATCTGCCACCAAGCTAAGCCTCCCCTGTCCCAGCCTCAGGAGGAAGGGGCCAGCCTCCACTTGGCTCAGAGCCGTGCAGTATCCTGGTGCCTCCCAGCCATGGCCTGATGAGCGATGGGGAAGTGTCCCCTGCTCCCAGAAGCACCTAGGTACCCTGCTGGGGTTCTCAGACCCAAACCCCTGGGAGGAGTCAAGGAGGCCACCTTTCCCCAGGCCTGGAGCAGGCACTCAGCTTGGGGGAGACTGAGGCAGTTAGAGGCCAAGGGTCAGCAGACCTGAAGCCCGCCCCCTCCCCACCGTGTGAGGACTGAATGGGAGGGCAGATGGCAGCTAATCGGGTCCTACGTAGCCCCCCGTTCAGTTGTGACTCTTGGGCTGGGCCAGGCTGGGCAGGGACAATGCAGAGCTATTTTTGCTTATGGTGCAGCAGCTGCCGCACAGAGACATCAATCATTGACGCTCTGGGGTCCCTGCCAGCCTGGAGAGGCGCGAGTCCTCATCTGGGCCCCACCAGGGCCCCGCATCCTAGGCCCTGGTTCCCAGACACCCAGCCTCAGGAGGCTGCGGGGGAGCCTGACACCCCCGCCCATCAGCGAGGGCTGGGCTGAGGTGTGGCCTAGCGTGGTGGTCCGAGGGAGGAGGCTGAGCCTATGTGTGCCCACGGGAGAGAGCACGGGGCACTGCAGAACCAGCGCACCCCGCCCAGCGCTCTGAGGGTGGGGGCCTTGTATGGGCCAGGGGTGGCTGTGAGTCTGGCTTGTGGGAGAGCAGGGGCTCCTGAGCCATGTCCAACTGCTGTCACCTTTCCCAGCAGGGCATCTGTCCCTGGAGGGGCCATCAGGGCAGGGCTGTAGCAGGGCGGGACGACGGCAGCTCCTGGCAGCTCAGGGCTCTGCGGCAGACTCACAGCCAGGCTTGGGCTGGGGGGGGGGGGGGGGGGGGGGGGAGGGACGGGGGGGGGGGGGGGGGGCTATGGATGGGCTTCACAGGCTCCACCCGAGCAGCTTTCTCCCCGGGCTGACCCTATGATCCTGGGGCCAGGCTGGGGCTTCTGAGGCCCCCTCAGGAGGGAGGAGGGATTGGGCACAAGGAGGCAGGGCCCAGGCTGGCCGGCCCTGGGGGCAGTGAGGGCCAACGAATGGACCATCTCCCTTTACACAGTGGCATACTCTGCTGAGGCGCCAGGCCCTCCTAGAGATGAAATGGGGCTCCCGGGGGCCCCCCCGGGGATGTGTAGGGGTGAGCATAACAGGTGATATCAGCCTTCTGCCTGAGAGCAGGCAGGAGAAGGGATGGGGCAGTCTCTGGGGCAGGAGCATCCTGAATCTGGGCCCTGAGCCAATGCCAAGCCAACTCTCTTGCTGCAGAGTGAGCAAGGCCCCAACAGGGTAGTGTAAGCCCACCCAGCCCTCACCAAGGCCATGTGCAGAAGTGGCCCCAGGGAGGGTCCCTGGCCAGCCAGCGATCCCAGGGACCACCCAGCTGCACAGGGGCTGGCTGAGGGCTGTTCCTTCAGCAGCCATGTGAGACCCCCTGCTCCTGACCTCTGCTCAGGAGGGGCAGCTCCCTGGCCTCCCCACCCAGGGCCCCATCCTTGCCCTCCCCACAGAGCTGGGAGGAGCCCCCATAGCCCCATCATGCTGGACATCAGGATGTCACATGGAATGAGGCCACTTCATTTGGACAGGGAACCAGGGTCCACACAACTTTGCCAAGGTCACTCATCTAATGGGGCAGGGGGACGCAGAACTGGGTCTGTGCCCTAAGTTAGTCCCTGATTATACAAGTGCCCCTTGTTCCCAGGCCCCCGCTGCCAGACTCACAAACACAGACGGGCAGGCCGAGATCCCAACAGAACCGGACAGATGCGGAACACACCCGGGGACACAAAGAGTGCCCCCTCCCTGCACCCATGAGCGACTGACTCCCTGGTGGACAGAGCAGGGCACGACTCCAGGGATCCAGGGATAGAGGGGGCACAGGGTCTCTGGCTGCAGGGCAATGCTGCCCTGCCTGCGGGAAAACACTAGGGCAGGAAGGGTGAGACCCACACCCGAAGGACAGGGCTGTGGCCCGTTGTGCCGTGGGCTCAGTGGAGGGAGGCTTCCGAGCAGTGCTGTGCATGTCTGTCCGACCTGCAGCTGGCCGGCTGCCCGGCTGCAGCCCGGCTAACGGGAACTGGCACGCATGAGTCATCCTGCTGGGCAGGCTCACCTGGGCCCGGCTGGCTGTGTGCATCCCCACGAAAGCCCAGGAGTAGAGTGTGTCTGTGTGTGCCCATGGGTGTGTCTGTGTCCTCTTGTGCATATCTGGGCACGTGGGCACGGCTGTGTCAGTACGTGTGGGAGTGTGTGTGCACGGAGGCATATCCAAGTCAGTCTGTGTCTGTGTATCGGTGTGAATATGTGCGTTGTCTACATCTGCGTGTGAGGTGTGTGTGTGTGTGTCCGTCTGTCTGTCTGTCCCAGCACCACTGGCACCACTCCTAGGACGCCCCCGGGAATGGTCCTCCGCGGCAGTAGCTGTGCTTTTCGGGGTCTTTTCTGGCCCAGGCCTCCCACCCCCAGCCCCAGCAGGACCCACACCTCAAGGTCCCCTTCCTCAGATCTACATCAGGCTGGGCCTCAGCTAGCCCCCTGCCCGTTCCCCAAGGAGTGTCATCGTCTGCACACTACCCAAGCTGGAGCCCCGGGGCCCATCCCACTCCAGTCCTTACCAAGCCCCTCTGTCATCTTCTGGAACATCCTGGGTCCCTGTCTCCCTCCTCATATTGCTGCCCTGGCCCAGCCCCCACCCACCCTCTTGTGGGGCTCCTGACTTCCAGCAGTGGCCCCCACGGACAACCACCCTGCTCCCCCCCAGCCACCAGGTGGTCTTTCCTCAGCCTCCACTGCCCAGTCTTGCTGCCCCCTGCCTCACCTCACCTAATTCTCAGCCTGGGCTCTCTTACCCTGTCCTCGGCACACACACTACTCCGAGGCCTCTGAACCCAACAGTCCTCCCGCACTCCTGAAGTCCCAGCTTACACTGTCCCTTGGGAGCCTGCCGGGAGCCGCTCCCCACGCACCCCCACCGCGGCACCACGCTACTGGGCAGAGCACATCTCTAGCCTGGGAGCCCCGTGGGCAGGGCCGGTGAGGTCAAATCACATGCCCACGGCCTGCACGGGCTCCCGCTGCCTCTGTGGCCCCCAGGGTGCCCCGCACCCCAGCTTGTCACTAAAATGTCCGTCTCTGGGCTGGGAGGTAGGACTGCGGAGCGCGGGTCCAGCCCGGGAGCCTAGGCGCGGCGTGTGGAGACCCCTCCCTGGCAGGGGCCCAAAGTCAACTGTCGGGACCCAGAAAGGCCCGCTGAGGGCGCTGGACGGGCCTGCGGCGGGGGTCGGACAGGAGGTGGGCCCCGGGGGCGTGGCCGGGCGGGCGGCAGCCAATGGGCTGAATGAGGCCAGGCGGGGCGGGGCGGGGCGGGGTCCGGGCGGTGGCGGGGTCCCGGGGCGCCGGCTGGGTCCGCAGTGCGAGGTCGGCGGCGCGCGGCAGCGCAAGCCAGCGGAGGCAGAGGGCTGCGTCCGCCGGCTCCCCGGCCGCCCGCGCGCCGGAGCCGAGACCCGCGACCGGACGCGACGGGCCGCCGCTGGCCCGCACCGCCCCGCCGCCGCGATGTGCGACTGTTTCCACATGGTGCTGCCCGCCTGGCCCGGAGCCCCCGGCAGCGGTGCGCTTCCTCTCCGCCTGCAGCCCGCTCCCCTCGGGAGGGTGGGCTCTGCGCGGGGACGCGCGCCGGGCGGGTCAGGGTGCGCAGTGCGGACCCGGGTGGGGCGCCTCGGGGACCGGCCCGGGGTCTCGCGCGCGTTTCTGCGCCTCGGGGCTGCTCGGGGCTGCCTCCCTCCTGCTGCATCTCGCCTTTTACCTGGCTCTGCTTCTCTCCGTCTCTGCCGCTCACTTTGTCTCTCTGGGTCGCTGACTCATCTCTACCACTCACTCTGTCGCTCCCCGCCTCCGTCACTCACTACCCCTGCCTGTCTTTCCCTCTCTGTCACTATTCCCTGCTCTAGCCCTCTGGGATGTTGCCTTGTCCCCAGAGGCGGCCGCCTGCGGAGGGCCGCACGTGTGAGTGGGGCGTGAGTGGGGCATGAGGGCCGTGGGTCACCAGGCATGGGGACCTGCTGCCAGGCTCACCCTCTATCCCGCTTTGAGGGAGAGCAGCCTGGCTGGAACAGGACTTAGGGCTATTGGCCTTGTTCCAGAGTCCCGGGCTGGGCTGGGCTGGGTCCACAGTGTGGCTACTGTGCGGCTGGGTCACTGGGTAGGTGGTGGGGCTAGACCTGAGGTCTGGGGCTTGGTGAGGGGCCCGAGTGGGGTCAGAGCTCAGGCCAAGGAGTACCCAGTGCTGGGCAAGGGAAGCAAAGGTGGGTGTTGCCCATGGGGCACTACCCCCTCCCCACACCTCTGGCTGCAGAATGGGAATGAGGTGCTTCGTTATCTGTCTGTCCCTGCATGAGGTCTGGTTCCAGAGCCTGGGTGTCTCAGAGTCTTGGGGGGCAGGGTGGGGTGAGGCAGAGGCAGCAGCAGGTCAGTGATGCAGCAGCCACACCCAGGGCATCTGGCCAGTTGCCAGCAAGGTGGGTTGGGCCTTGCTGCAGTGGCGCAGACTGGACCCCACTCCTTGGGGAACAGGGGTAGAAGATGACGATGGTGCTGCTGAAGCAGAGGGGAGAGGGGTGCCCCTTGGCCTGGGCAAGCCCCTTCAGCTGCAGCTGGAGCTCCCAGGGTCCCTTCTGTTGCCCAGTTTTCTGGTGAACACCAAGGCCCTGCTGGCCTCCTGTTTGGCCCTCCCTTGTCCAAGGGATTTTCCCTGGACAAGCTCGGGAGAATGATGGCTGCGGTGGGCCTCCAGCCCCCTCCTCCTGACCGAAGCTGGCCATGGCCCACCGTCCTGGGGATCTGCTGCATCACAGGGAAAGGAGAGGGGGCAGAACGACATGGGGCTGCCTCCAGCATTCCACACTGGCCTGTACCCTTACTCACAGGTTACCCAGAGACTCCCAAGTTGCAGGGTCCAAAGCCATCTCATCCACCCTGCTGCCTCGAAAAGGCCTGGTCTGAACACCCCTCCACAGCTGAGACCCTTATTCTCTGCTTTGACTTGGGACTGGCCTCAGGGCCATCGCTCCTTAGGTCCTGTCTACGAAACCATCAGCTCTTAGGGCCTGTCAGTGATTCTCATGGGGCATTGAGAGGAGACCTGCTGGATCAGAGCCCCGGGGGGCTGGGTCCACCCTCAGATTCCCAGGCCCTCCCCCACCCTTCAGCGAGGCTGAGGAACATGCATTCCAGATAAGGCCCCCGGGGGGGGGTTGGTTCCCGTGCTCCCAGCTGCGGTTCCCTCCTCGAAGACTAGAGATGGGCAGGCCTTGCCGCACCCTCATTGTCCTGCCCAGTCCAAACCTGCCCTCCTGGGCCAGCCATGCTCGGTCCTTTGAAGACCCCTCCCAGAGCCTGGGGGCCCTTCTCCCCTCAGCTGGGGGAGGAAGCCGTCTCCCGTCCAGCCTGCCCTGGGAGGCTGCCCCCTGGTGGCTGCGCCCGGAAGACACCCGTGGGGGGTCCGCCCAGCCTCAGGGCACCTTGGCCAGCGAGCAGCTCACCCCCAACTCTTTCCAAGCCCCTGCCGGCATGGGAAGGGAGCTCCACCTGGGTGCACTGCCCCCGCTTCACTGTGTGATGGGTACCAGCCATCACACCGCTTCCTTCCCCAGAGGCAGCCAGTTTCTTCCCAAGGCAGAGCTGGGTCCAGGGCAACTGGACTGACAGGGAGCCCCCTACTCCTGCGCTGGGCCCCTGCCCTGCACCCGAAGCCCCTGGCTTAGCCTGAGCCCCTCTCCCATCCCCACTCTGAGAAATGCCTACTGGGTCCTGGGAGGCCCCACCATAAGGGAGGATCTGGGTGGTCTCTTCTTGTGGGGGTCCATGGTAACTGGGGCCCTTCCCAAGAGCATTGCAGTGTGGGGCATCCGTGTGGTGGCCTCCCTCTTTTGAACAGGGCTGGTGGCCTCGCATGGCCTTGGGCTTGGAGCTGCAAGGGTCTGTGGTCTGGAACTTGTGTCTGTGAACACAAGTGAGCACGGCTGCCCACAGCAGAGGCGGGGCAGAGAACTAGAGCTGTGTGGTCAGGGAGGCCATGGGCCTGTGCGGGTGGCAAGTGTCCCCACACCGTCCACACTGGGAGCTTTCCCTGGGTTGTCCACATCGGCAGAGGGCTGTGTCCCCGTTTTGCAGACAGGGACACTGACTCTTGGAGCCGTGAGGCAGAGCCCTGCACCAGCGTGGGGCCTCTCTGGCCTCCGCTCCTTAGCGCTGTGATGTCCGGCAGGTGCTGGTGCTGCCTTACCCCACCAGGGAGAGCTCTCCCTCCAGCCCAAAGTGTCCACGGCAGGAGCGGGCAGCAAGGAGGAGGCTGCGGAGGCCATCCTGGGAGGGGGTACGGACCCTCCCTAAGCTAAATGAGGCAGATTCTCCAGCCCCCCCTGGTGTGGCAGGTGTATTCCTGACAGCACCCTCGTTCTTTTCCCTGTGGGAGAACTGAAGCTGGACAGTCTGCTCCTGCCCCAAGGTCTCGGGGAGGGGGGCGGTGTCCAGTGCCCCAAAGGCCCTGCCGCCTCCTGTGCACCAGAGGCTGTGTGAGCCCCACTCCGCTGGGGCTCTTCGTGGCTGGGCCTGTGGCAGGAATGCCCTCATGGCCTTCTCTCTCTCTGGCTGAGCTCCTCCATCCTTGACTTGGCTAGGAGCTGCCTCTTCCAGGAAGCCCCGTGGATTGCTGGGCCCAAATTTCTCTCACCTTCAGACTCCAACCCTCTCTGTATCCTTTCTTCCATGGCTGCCCTTGGCTGAAGCTTCTTGCTTCTGGTTGAGCCTGGGGCTGGCCTGCCTGGGGGTGAGGAAGTGGAGGTGTCAGGGGGAAGGACCCAGGCAGGTGGGGCAGGGCACTAGCCATCTGGGGGCCCCTGCCACTCACTCAAGGCATGAAAGCCCAGATCTCCCCAGGCGGAGGAGGCAAGTCCTACACTCAGGGCTCTGTCGGGGGCCCTGGGATGTGGGAGGTCACACAGGAGGGAACAGTTTACCATTGTCTATCCGGCTAAGGTGAGTCAGGCACAGCTTCTGCCATTAGTCCAGCCTTGGGTGTACAGAGGAGTCAGGGAGGGCTTCCTGGAGGAAGGTGCATGTGGTAGGGAGAGCGCAGGAGTGCAAGAGGCCTAGAGAAAGCTTCGGCTGGGGGACAAGTAGATTAACAGGGTGGGTCTGGGGATACATGTAGGGGTGAAGGGTAGAGAGGCAGGGGCCTGCTGTTAGGAGGGGGGGGTTTGTTCCAAGGGCACTGGGAGCCCCACACGGGTTCTGGGCAGTCCACGTGGGAAGGGATGAGGCCAGGCAGGAGGAGGAGGAAATGGAGGGGGCAGAGGACTGGGCGGGGAAGTGGGGAGAGCTGGGGTAGGGGTGCTTAGCTGGATGCATAGTGAGACCTGGCTGTGTGACCGTGACCTCCCTGACACGCCCCCCAGCCCCCTCGAAGGTCAGGGACGCTTTCTGCCCAGAGTCTGGGCGTAGCTCCCAGTGAGCCTGCACCAGCTCAGCTGCTGCTCCTATGGCCAGGCTTCCTTCTGTTTGTCTTTTTTTGGAAGCGGCAGGCGGCTGGGAGCCAAGGGTCCGCCTTGCTGGGGTAAATATTTAATAGTTTGAGGCACTTTTTCAAATGCAAAGGCCTGAGGGGCTGGGGCTGGGGCTGGGGCGGCACGTGGTGGCCCCGGGTTCCCACCCCGCTTCCTGCCCTGCGCTGACCCTAGTGTGTGTGAGAGGGTGGGGGTGGCACGGGGCCGCGGGGCCAGAGAGCTTCCGGCAGGGACCCGGTGACTGACGGGAGCGTCAGCGGAGAGTGGGCTCTGGGCCACCGGCTGAGGCCGCCTGGCGGCCTCCTGGACCCTGCTGGGGTCTGGGGCAGGAATCCTGAGAGGGGCCCACAAGCGGCACTCCAGCCTGCACATGGCACCAGATGCGGGTGTCCAGTGCCAAGAGGAGAGTCAAGGCTCCGAAAGGAGTAGCAGGGGACAGCCCGGGGGCTCAGCCCCATTTGGCCAGGTCATGCCCCCTTTGTTTGGGGCTCCAGCCCCTCTGCCCTGAGTGGGGATCAGACCAGGGGCCGCCTGCATCAGGCTCTGCCCGCACCCCCGCACCTCTCCCACTGAGGCCCTTGTGTCCCGAGAGCGGCCAGCCCTGCTGGACCCCTCCCAGGGTGAGGACAAGGATGGCCTCCCACAGGGCACTTGGCTGTGGGACTGCTCCAGGGGCAGCTCCCTCTCTGGCAGGCCTTACTCCTGGGCGGCTCCAGCCCCCAAGGGTTCCTCTGTTGACACATCTCCTGAGAACGCCAAGCTTGGCCCTGGCCGCCTCCCCAGCTGATTCACTATCAGCTGCCCCGGCCCTGCCCAGCCCCTGCCGGCAGCTGAGTTCCTGTGCGGACTCTGAGCAGGAGCCTGGGGTGCCCGTGGCTTTGAGCTGCAACTGCCTGGGTAGTGGGCATCGGTGGGCACGTGCTGGACGGCCTGGGTCTTGGGACCTGCGGTGTGGCAGGTCAGCAGACACCCATCAGCTGGCCCAGCACCTGCCTGGCCACATGGGGTCCTTGGGAGCTGAGGCAAGTGGGCAGGGCCTTGCACCGGGGCCCTTCCGTGCTGGAGAGCCGGGTATGACCCCCGTGGGACTGGACACCAGCTCAGGGGCAAGGTATGAAGGGCGGCCCCCTGACTCTTGCCCCTACGAGCTCACAGTGGTCCGGACCCACAGCCCTGTGCCTCTGGCCTGACTCTCTGCCGGCCCAGGGCTCCCGGCTGGCCTGCACATCGCAGGCCCTGCTCGCCCCCATCTCCCATCGGCAAGGGAACCGCAAGTACACAGCGCTTGCTGAGGGCTGTGGGCGCTAGCTGCCTGTGGGGGAGAGTCAGGGTCGAGCCTGCTGAGAGTCTGGAGGGGGTCTGTGCGTGTGGGGGAGCAGAGCACAGGGTGTGGGGGAGGGTGGGGCCGGAGGACAGACCCCAGCCTGCCCGCCGCACAGCATGGGGGGTGGTCTGGCCGCAGCTCCCTCTGGCACTGGGGGCCCAGCCCAGGCTCCTGTAGTGTCCCAGGGCCACACGGCCGGGGGCAAGGGAGCTGGGGAGCAGCGGGGTCCTGGAGGACGGGGGCCGGCGACGAGGCTCTGTGGGTTTGGGACACACCCACGCTCAGGAGGGAAGGAGGGGGGTGGCCTGCTCAGTACCAGCAGCAGCCTCCCTTCCAGCTGGGCTCAGCCCTGCCCTGGGGGAGATGACAGACCTGTGGGGTGTCAGGCAGTAAACAGAGTTCCCAGGTGAGAACCGTCTGGGGCTGTGGGAGTGGGTGAGGTCACTGGCCAGCAGGCCTCGCCAGCTCTCCTGTCTCACGGTAAATAGAGTCATTTGTGACCATTAAATTTTTAGAGAGGGGGAGGATGGGAGAGGCCTGGGTACTGTCCCTCCTTCCTGGACTGGGGACCCACCCTGGGGCCTCTCACCCGCGCTGGGCCAAGAGTGCCCACTGGCCCGGGCTAGCCAGAGCTTTCTCCCTACCTGGGGTCCCTCTGAGCGGCCGGGCGCCCCTCCCTTACTGTCCCCCCACCCCAGGCCACTCCTGGCTTCTTGTGTCCCGGTGTGGGGCCTGCTGCCCTCAGCGGTCCCCAGAGCCTCCAGCCTGCAGCTGCCTCGCTGATCCTGGCCTGGGTGCAGCCGTCCCACCACCACCTTCCCAGGGCTGGGCCTGACCCCTCACTGCCCTGGAACCCCAGGCTGGGTTCCTCAGCTGTGCGGGCCTGCTCCAACCTGCTTGTGGGGTGCAGGTGCCAGCAGCCAGCTGAGCCCCACCCCACAGGGCCGTGGGGCACAGGGCGGGGCAGCTCTGGGATCCAGTGAGAGATCTGCTGATGGCTCAGCCTGTAGGGTCCTGCCCAGGCCTGCCAGGGCTCCTGCAGCTGGGAGGGGCCTCGGAGCCAGAACCTGCATCCTATCACCTGCCCCCTTGGCACCTAGGGTGGGGGCTGAGTCCTGGGGGTCAGCAGGGTGAGTGACAAGAGCTGATAGGCCAGGTACTTGGTGCTTTGGGGAGTGGATGACTTGGGGTCTCAGACTCAGAGGCTGTACTTATAGCCAGATGACTAGGGAGGGGGTTAAAATGCAGGTTCTAGGGCCCTCCCCCCATCTGGCTCGTCGGAGGCCCTAGCGCTTTGGGAGGTGGTGGTTGCTGAGTTTGGGTTGAGGGGCTGGAAGGGTGGCCGGGGTCAGGCTGCCCCTGAGGGACGTAGGCAGACGAGCAGGGCTTCTCTAAGGTCACTCAGTAGCCCAGGGCGTGGGTGGGCTTAGACCGACCCTGCTCTGGCCTTCCTGGTCTGTGCTGCCTGTGGAAGGGGCTGGCTGTGCCCTGGGCAGGGGTCTCCACACAGCCTGAAGGCCCTCAGGTCCCAGACGGGGCCGGAATTAGTGCCCATCGCAGGACTGTCTCGGAAGGGCCTACCCACCTCTCGGACTGTGCCCCCTGTTCCCTGCACCCCCAGTCTGGCCCACTCCGAGCCTCTGGTCCCCCATGTACAGGGAAACTGAGGCGTGGGGCCCATGAACAGCCTGGCCGGGGAGGGGCGGGGGGTGTCCTATCTGACATCTGGTCCTGCCTACCTGTCTACACAGCAGGACTCTACTGGACTGGAGTGTGCTGGCGGGTGGTAGTGACTCAGACATCCCGGGGCCGGCTGGTGTTTCCTTTCCCAGTCAGCTGCTTGGGCTTGGGGGGGGGGGCCCTGGGGGGGGGGCGGGCCCCCCAGCTCCTTGAGGCTTGGGGGGGCGGGGCCTGGCCCAGCCTCAGGGCTGTGAGGGGGCCGCCCATCCCTCTGCTGGGGCGAGGGGGCTTGGCGGGGCTCCAGGCCTGCCTGAGGAGGAGGCCAGGGCGGGGCAGCAGAGCAGGGTTGTGGAGGGGAGGGACCCAGGAGGGCAGCCGGAGGGAGCTCAGCTGGGATCTTCACTTCTGGGCAAGTTGGGAGGACATCAACCTGGGTAAGCCACTGCGGCTATCCTCTGTACCTGCTTCTGCCCCCAACCTGCAGCCCCCTGCCCCCAGCCTGCAGCCCCCTGCCCCCTGACCACAGCCCCAGCCCCCAGCCTTCAGCCCCCTGCCTGCAGCCCCTGCCCCCAGCCTCCAGCCTGCAGCCCCCTGCCCTCTGTCCAAAGCCCCCTGCCCCCTGAAACCTGCTCCCAGTCCCCAGCCCCCTGCCCCCAGCCCCCTTCCCAAGGTTCAGCCCTTGGGTGCCTGCTTATCTCACCACCCACTACCTGTGGGGGCCGGGTGGGGCGCTCAGGCTGGGCACCAAGCAGGGCTGTCATCTCCCTGACCCTCTGCCCTGCCTCAGCCCGAGCCCATGGTGGAGGGACAGGCCTTCAGTTCATGGGGGCCAAGGGCACCAGCACAGCCATTGCAGTCCCAGGGCAGGCAGATCCCCAAGGTTGGACCGTGTGGCCAGGCAGGGTTCCTCAGGGGCTGCCCACTGTCCTTGTGGGTGCATTGAGGGCCCTGGGAGTCTGGGGAGGGCGCTTCCAGCAAGCCCAGGCTCACTGCAGGTGGCAGGTGGCAGGTGACAGGTGGGCCGCACGTCTGGGGTACTGGCCTCTCAGCTCAGAGAAACAGGCTCAGGCCCACTGGTGCATCTGGGATGGGCCGGAGTGTGGGGCCTTTCCTTTTGGCTGCTGGGCCCTTTGGAGTTGGCAGGCTGATGTGCCTGCCTCAGTTTCTCCGGGTACAGGAGGAGACGTGCTGCCCCCCGCCCCCCTGCCCTCCCGGTCCCACAGCTCAGTGGCACCCTAGGGCTTTCCAGGAGATCCTCCCCTTCCTTTCCCCGTCTGCTCCCTGCACTAGCACCGGGCTCTCAGTGCTCGGGACCAGAGAGGAAGCGACGGCTGGGTGGCCATGCTGGGTCTGTGAGTTGTCAGGGGAAGCCACAGGTGAGAAGTGCCAGGGCTGGGGGGAGCTGTGGGCCGGCTGGGCATCCGAGAGCGATGCAGGGTGATGTGAACGCATCCTGGTTGCAGCCCAGGCAGCAGCAGGAGACAACCTGGCAGCCCAGGCAGCAGCAGGTGACAACCCTCCCCCATAGGCCTAGGCAGCCAGGCTAGGGCCTTGGGGGCAGAGCGGGAGCCAGGCTGGCCTCCCCAAGCAGCAGAGTTACCTTGAGAAAGCTGGGAAGGGGGGAGGCGGGGAGGAGGGCCCTCACTGCCTGTGATTGTTGCTTTGGGAAGTCTGAATGTCTCATGACCCGTCAGCCGAGCCCGGCACTTTCCTCGTGAGGTTCCAGCACTGGGTGGGGTCTGAGCTGTGTGCCTGTGTGGGCACTGGGCTCCAAGCCCACGGGCAGCGTCCCCTGACGGGTGAGCCTGCCTCAGGGGCTCCCGCCGCCACGGCTCCCTGGGCGGCCAGGGGGCCTCGTCAGGGACTGTGCACTGGTGCGACAGGGAGGAGCCCAAGCCCAGGCACAGATGTCCACACACACGCCCTCACGGGCGTGCACACACTCGCGCACACACACCCACGCTGAACCTCTCAAGCCACGGTCCAGGTCCCCGTTTGCAGCTCTCCTCCCTGCCATCTCATAATCCCCCAGGCCCGCAATTGCCCTGGTGACATGCATATGCACCCACCATACCTGGCCCCCCTGGAGGGCAGCCAGTGTCCATGCAAACTTGGGTTTGGGTGGCCCTACTCTGGCCAGGGGCTGGTAGGAGAGTCCCCAGCGGGGGCGAGCTGAGAGTGAGGAAGGCATCTGGGCTAGCGCCCCACTTTCTCCACCCCCTCCACCTGGTCCCGCATCAGCATACCACCTCACCTTGGCTGTGCCCCCTGTCCAGACACACTTCCTTGAGACGCCGCCCCAGAATATTCCAATATTCTCGGCAGTGAAACTGTTCTGCTGCGGGGGGAGCACAGACCCTGGCCCCTCACCGGAAGGGCTCAAGCGCACCCCCTGGGGTGTGTAAGGCCTGACCCCTAGTACCAGCCCCGGCAGGAGTTGGATGCTGCAGTGGTGTCTGAGGCCGTGAAGGGTTAGGGTCAGGGACTGAGGCAGGACAAGGAGCAGGAAGGGCATTTGGGGAGGCACCAGGGACCAGCAGCCAGAATCTTGGGCTCAGCCTGTTGCCTCCCTGTCCTCTGTGAAGTGGGGCTTTGGTGCCCTTATTGTCGCCAGACTGCCTAGAGAGCCTGTCTCTGGGGCCACAGCGGGCAGGGGCCTGGGTCAGGTGGGCGGGTCGCTGCCCCTGCACTCACGGCCGGGCGGGGCTTGGCGCATGGGGACCGACAGGAAGATGCTCTGGGGGATCCTGGGGTGCCTCGTCCTCCCTCCCCGGGGTGCAGGTCTGAGCCTGGGGTGCCTCGTCCTCCCTCCCCGGGGTGCAGGTCTGAGCCTGGCAGGCTCCCGACCGCTCTGCCCCGCAGCGGGCAGGCAGGATTTCCTCCTTCCTGTTTGTGCGTCCCGGGGCCAGGCGCTGGGTTCTGCCTGAAGGGGCGCAGAGGGACCTAGAGCTCAAAACCACAGCCTGGCACCCTCCTGGCGGTGTGGCCTCGGGGAACGGAGAGTGGGGAGCAAGTCCCTGCCTCTGATCCTGCCACCTCCTGGATCCTGCTTTTCAGCCCACAGTGGGGGCCGAGGCGGGGCCGGCCGGCTGGAGCAGGGCCCGCTGGGCTCCAAGGCCCTCGTTCCCAGCGTGGGGTGTGCCCCGCCTCCGCGCTGTCCACACCTTCACCATGGCCCTTGGCGTCCGCCAGACGCCCCTGGAGTAGATCTGGGGCTGCAGCTTCTCAGGGCCGGGGATCCCTGCCCGGCTACGGGAGCCTTCCACCGCCGTGCCCCCCCCCCCCCCCCCCCCCCCCGGGGCGCCCAGCTGGAGGCTCTGCCTGGGGACCTCTTCCCCGGCCGGTCGCGCTCCGCCCCCAGCCGCTCCAGGGACACGCCTGCCAGGAGAGGGCGGTCACCCGTTCTTGTTTTGTTGTCTGACTCACAGGAACGGCTGCGGCTGGCGGCGGAGCTCTGGGCGAGGTCGGGCAGCCCGGGCGGGCGGCAGGTTTCTGGGCGGGCTGGGGGAGCTTGGCAGCCCGCCCCAAGCCCCTCCTCCTGCCCGCCTAGGCCCCACCCCAGACCAGAGTGCCGCCCCCACTGCGTTCCCTCCGTCCCTTGCGCGCTGGTGGCGTGGGCGGGCGCCACCTCTTCTGGACTCAGCCCTCCCCTGCACCCCTCCCCCCGGGGGCGAGCCGCCTCGGGCAAGTGGCTTCCCCTCCTCCAGGCCTGGGTCTCTCATTTCTCACTGATTACACAGGCGTACCCACCTTGGGCTGGGGGTACGGGCCTGGGCAGAATTGGAAGGGAAACTGAGGCAGGATGGTGCGTTTGGCTGCTGTGCAGGGGAGCTGGCTCCGTGGAGAAGAGGAGAGGCCCGGAACAGAGGCAGGGACTTGCTCCCCACTCTCCGTTCCCCACCCTGGCAGTCCCCCTGGTGTTTCCAGGTGGGCACAGCGGCCCCAGACATCCATCGGGAAATCGAGGCGCAGAGAAGGTGCAGGCTTGCTCAGGGTCACACAGCAACTTGGCCAGAGAACAGTGGCCAAAGTCACACTCCTGGGGGACTGGGCCTCCCCCATCTGCTCCACAGGGACAGGGACCTGCCCAGTCCCCCGTCTGGGTGCCCACCTCATGGGGCAGGGACTCACGCCTCCCACTCGTTGCCCTGCAGCCTGCAGTGGGCGGGGGCTTGGGTCTCCTCGCCACCGGCAGTGTGGGCACCTGCAGAGAGGGCTTCCCCAAGCCCGGCCCGTGTGCCGGAGCTGGCGTCCATCACTGCTGTGTCTTCGTGGAGTATGTGGTCCAGTTCCGGGGGATCAGGCTGGAGTCATATTTGTGGAAAGGCTGTGAATAAGGATTTGATTGTTGGATCAGGACAGAACTATGTAGATAGGCTACTTCTCCTCCTGCTGCCTTGGCCCCATGCTTCTCTACAGGTCCGTCCAGTTCGTCTGAACGTTCAGACTTATCGGCAGGAAGTTTATCATTTCCTCACTTCAGTTTCATGGAAAATTTTAAAAATTCTTTCTTGAACAAGAGTACAAATCCTACAAACCTGACAGAGAGGGAGAGCGGGAGCGCGTGTGAGCACAAGCAGCAGTGGGGCGCAGGCCATTTTTCTTTTCTTTTTAAGGATTTATTTATGCGAGAGAGAGAGAGTGCATACGAGTGGGGGGAAGGGCAGAGGGAGGGGAGAGAGAAAATCTCAAGCAGACTTCCCACTGAGTGTGGAGCCCGACGTGGGGCTTGATCCCATGACCCTGAGATCATGACCCGAGCCGAAATGAAGTCAGACGCTCAGCCGACTGCACCACCCAGGCGCCCCTCTTGCCCATTTTTCTATTGGGTTGTTTGTCTTTTCCTTTTGGTTTGCAAGAAATCTTCCTACATTCGGGGCAGGAGGCTTTGGTTTGGTAAGTGTGTTGCAAATCTCTGCCCAGTCCATAGCTTGGCTGCTGACGCCTTCGGCGATGTCTTGTGATGAACGGAAGCTCTTCATGGTGACGTAGACCAGTTCTCCGCCATATCCTATAGGCCTGGCGCCTTCAGTACGCTTGTTAGGAATTGCTTCCCGACCCCCAGAGTCGTTTCTATTTATCTTCTGGAGGCTTTATTGCTAAACCTTCTGCTTTGGTCCTACAATCCACATGAAATTAATACTTTCCACGGCTGGCATAGGGTTGAGATTAATATTTTTCACATGGATAGCCAAGAGACCCACACGAGTAACTGAAAAGACCATCATCCATTTCCCACAGCTTTGCATCTGTGAGTTTGTTTCTGGGATCTTTGTTCTGTTCCGGTTTTCGTTTGCATTTTCCTGACAGCTAAGGAAGTCATCCATCTTCTTGTGGGCGTCAGCATATCTTCTTTGTCAAGTGTCTGTTCAAATCTTTTGCCCGTATTTAATTGAGTTTTTTGTTGTTGTTGTTCTTTATCTGTTGATTTGTCAGTTTATCTGGATGCAAGTCCTTTGTCAGATCTATGCATTGCTTTTTCATTTTCTTAAGAATGCCTTTCAAGACCGGAAGTATTTAATTATGATGAAATGTAATTTATTGTGTTTTCTTTTGTGAGTCACACCCTTGGTGTCCTGTCTAAGAAAACGTTCCCTCCCCAGGGTGGTACAGAATGTCCCCTGTGTTTTATTCTGGAAGGTTTATAGTTTTAGGTTTTACATTTAGCTCTATGATTCATTTTGAATTCATTTTTATGTGTGACATGAAGTAAGAGTCCAGGATTTTGTTTTGTTTTTTTGTTTTCCAAACACATATCCAGTTGTCCCAGCACCATTGTTGAAAAGACTACAATTTTTCTATTGAGATAACTTGGCTGATTTGTCAAAAATCAATCGACTGCACAAAGTGTGGGGCTATTCTGGACTTTGAATTCCATTTCATTGATCTTTTATATTTATATCATACTGTCTTGATTCTGCTGGGCATCAGAGAAAATACCTAGCATGATTTAAATTGTCTTAAACTTACTGAAACATTTTATTAATTTTTTAAAATTTATTTATTTGACAGAGAGAGACACAGTGAGAGAGGGAACACAAGCAGGGGGAGTGGGAGAGGGAGAAGCAGGCTTCCCGCGGAGCAGGGAGCCCGATGCGGGACTCGATCCCAGGACCCCGGGATCATGACCCGAGCCGAAGGCAGACGCTTAATGACTGAGCCACTCAGGCACCCCAACATCTTATTAATTTTATTCTTTAAAAAGATTGATTTTTGAGAGAAAGAGAGTGCATGAGAGGGCCAGAGGGGGAGGGAGAATCTTAAGCAGACTCCCCTCTGAGCACGGAGCTGAGATCATGACCTGAGTTGAAACCAAGAATCGGATGCTCACCCAACTGTGCCCCCAGGTGCCCCCCTTTTTTCCTAAACTTACTGAGACACGTAGTGTATCTTGGTGAATGTCCCATGTGCACGTAGGAGCAGGTGGAGGGGCCTCCAAGTGCCAGTTTGGTCTCACTGGTTCACTGGTGGTTCACCTGTCCTTATATGTCCTATTCTGTACCCAGAGGAGCGTTAGGGTCTCCTGTCATAATTGTGGATTTAAGTGTCCTGTCAGTGCGGCCACTTTTCTCTTCTGTGTTTGTAACCGCTGTTATCAGGTGTATACGGACAAGTTTATCGTGGTTTTTGATGAACTATTCCCTTTTTAAAAAGACTTATGTATTTATTTGCGAGAGATCGAGTGCACAGTGGGAGGGGCACAGGGAGAGGGACAGAGAGTCTCAGGCAGACTCTGTACTCAGTACAGAGCCCGATGTGGGGCTCGATCCCACGACCCTGAGATCACGGCTTGAGCTGAAACCAAGAGTTGGACGCTTAACCGACGGAGCCACCCAGGCGCCCCCCATCCCGTCTATCATTATAGAATGTTAGGACAGTTAGTGCGTGGTGTATACTTTCCTTTCCTTTCCTTTTTAACATTCTATATCTTTACATTTATAGTCCATGTCTTGTAAACAGCATATGGATAGGTCTTGCCTCTTTAAATCTCCTCTGATAATCTCTCCCTTTTGATTGGAATTTTAAGTCCCTTTATAGTTAATGTAATTGTGAACATGGTGGGTTGAAATCCCACCGTCCTGCTCATGGCTGTCTGTTTTATCCTTGCTCCTCTCTCCCTCCCTCCCTGCCATGTTTTAAGATACTTAAATATATTTACACATATATAATGACTCAGGAATATACGTTTTATATATATATAGAAAGAGAGACACGCATTGTATATATCTATAGAAAATGTATTTTTAGGATTCCATCTCGTTTCCACTGTTGGCTTATTAGCTCTGCATTCTCTGCAATGGTTCCTTTTTGGCTTATACTACGTGTTCTGTCCCCATCGCAGTAATACTGCCTCACATATGAGGTAAGAACTTTCCAACTTTACGGCAACTTTCATTCCTGCAACCCCATCCTTCAAACTATAGTCGTCATATGCTTTACTTCTACACTTGGTAAATTTTACATTTTACTAATTTTGTTTTGTGCAATCAATTCCATTTTTCTTTCACAGCTCGATGGAGGATAATTTATACGCCACAAAACCCACCCGCTGTGACTGTACGGTTCAATTGTTGTTAGTAGCTTTGCGAAGTTGTATGACCATCACCACGATCCAGTTCTAGGACATTCCCAGCACCCCACATTCCCCTAAGCCTGTTTATGGTCCACGCCTGTGCCCACTCGTAACCCCAGCGATGTTTCCTTCCTTCTGGTAAAATACAGAGACTTCACCCCAACGTATGTGCTGCCCTCCCCCTCGCTCTTGCCTCTGTCGTCACATTCGGATCGCACCTGTATGTGTGGTCATCCCGAGGCGGCCCTGCCTTCCCCGCCCCCCGCCCCAGGAGTGGAAGGACTGGCCTGTGCCCGAGCCCCGCCCGCTGCCCGTTTGGGCAGTCAAGGCTGTTGCAGTGGTCACGTGGCCTCCAACGCCTAGCCTGTCTGGCCTTCCACAAGGAAAGTTTGCCAGCCCCCTGCTTCCTACAGCCTCGTGTCTTTTAAAAGAAGTGAAGACTTGAGCTGGACGGAGGGAACAGGTCTATTTATGTTCTCTCGTGCTCGCCCCATGTAGTGTTTTCCGCATTCCCCGTTCCTCCCTGCGGACTTGAGAGAGCGTCCGGCGACCGTGCCTTTTCTTCAGCATGGCTGGGGAGGCAGACACGCCGGCAGTGGATTCTCCCAGTCTTTGCTCATTTGCAGATGCCTCCGTTTGCCTTTATTTGTGCAGCATGGTTTGCTAGACCTGGAAGTCTAGCTTCCCAATGTCTTCCCTTCAGCCCGTGAGTGTGCCCTTCCACGGCGCACGCCCAGCTCCCGGGGCGCCAGGTGCTGACTGTGTGGTCCCGCCCTTACTGTGCGGCTCCTGTTTGTCTTGTTGCTTTCAAAATTTTCCCCTCTCTTCATTGTCTGGGCTGTGATGTTTTGGGTCTGGACCCCCATGTGTTTATCCCTCTGTGATGGCCGTGCCTCGCTGGTCTGCAGATAGCTCCCGGTGGCCTTTCTCCCTCCCTCCCTCCCTCCCTCCCTCTCTCTCTCTCTCCTTCTGAGACTCGGGCCACTTACCTGCTGCTGAGCTGAATGTGCTCCCGCACACCTCGCGGGCACCGCGCACACCTCGCGGGCACAGCCACTTTCTTGAATCCTTTTTCCTCTGTTCTCCAAATTGGCCAATTTCTATTAATTTACAAATTTTTCAATGCTTTCTCCTGGCATGTCAGTTCTGCTCCTGAGTCCCTGTAGTACATTTTCAACTCCAGAATTTCCATGTAGCCTTTTTATAATTTCTGTTTCTCTAGGACAGCCTCCCTTTGCTGAGCCACGGTATTTTCCATCTATAGTCGTTGCTTTGAAGTCAGTGCTCAGTCCCACTTCTGGACGCTCAGAGAGCTTCCGCGAGTTGCTTTGTTCCCTGGTATGGATCAGACGCTCTTCTTTCTCTGCGTGTCATGTCACTTCTGGCTGAGTGCTGGACACTGCAGCAACTCTGGGTTCTGGCCCCTTCGGGGCTGTGATTGTTGTTTCTCTGTGTGTTTGTTTAGTGACTATCTTGGACTAAATCTGTGAAGGCTACTTTGCCTGAGTACCCCCCGTGCAGGCTCACCGCTACCTGACCTGATGTCACAACCTGCCCACCCCTGTGTGTGCTCTCAGACCCAGTGTCCAGGATGGGGTGACGTGTGCACCAGCACGGTACACGGACGGACTTCGTCTGGGCCCAGCCCCCCGGGTCCACCGTCTGGTCTCCCCGCCTGCACGGCTCCGCTGACTCAGCCTCTCTCTTTGCAGTATCTGGCCGGCAGCTGCAGCCTGAGGAGCCGGACGCAGACACAGAAGAGGACCACTCTGTAAGCGAGGGCCCTGGAGGATGCATGCCCCCCTCACACAGCCCCAGCCTTTCCTGGGCGTGCGCAGAGCCCAGGTGGCTGAGGGCTACCTGATTTTTCTCTCCTGCCAGGTAACGGAAGGGCCCGTGGACGAGATCATTCGGCCACGGCCACAGGGGTCCTCCCCTGTGTATGAATACACTGTGGAGGGTGCTAGCTCTGGACTCCCGGTAAGCCTGCGGGACAGAGACCAGGGGCTGAGGGAAAGTGCAGCTGTGGGCATGTCTCCTTCATCACTCTGTGTGGGCAACTCCCACCCATTTGTGCAGCCATGCAGGCCTGCCCCGCTGCTCACCGGGCCACAGTTCTACCCATTGCGCCTTCCTCTCTGACCCCTCTGTCCCCCGGGACCCCTCCCTTCAGCGGCCCAAGACGGAGATGAGATTGTGCATGTGTGGGAAAGCGAGCCCGTGCTTGATGTGGGCATACACGGGCTGTCTCTGGAGTGGGCCTAGGGCGAGGGCATGGGAGCAGGTGTATTTCCTAAGAGACTTGTTCTTGCTCTGTTTCCTTCTTACCCTGCCCACCAAACCCCAGTTCCTGGGGGGGGTCTGCCCTGGGTGTGGGTGCTGGGGCCTGGGGGCTGGGCCCTGTCAGGAAGCACCAGGACCAAGAGTCACCGCCACCCCCCCCAAGCCATGAGATCAGCTCCCTTGGCACACAGCACTGCTCTGGGGCCTCCGGTCTCCTGAGTCCCTCCTGTGCCCGGGGTGGGGGCAGGAGTGTGACCTCTGGCCTCTGTGACTGCAGGAGGACACACCGAGGCGGCGGGCTTCCTCGGGCTCTGGGGGACGGAGATCCTGGTGGAAGCGAGATTCGGGGGACTCCCAGACATTCTCCAGGATGAGTGGTCCGCAGGTGGGTGTGGTAGTGCCTGAGGCTCAAGGGGGTGGGCTCTCTGCGAAGACCCCAGCTGGGCGGGAGGCGTGGCTGTTTCGGAGCAAGGAGAGGGACGAGGAGACCAGGGAAGGGCCTGCCTGTCACCCTCGTCAGGCCTGGTCTAGAGGCGGGGGCTCCAGAGGCTGGTCCGGGCTTCCCCTGAGACGTCCAAGGAAGAGCCCGATGTGGCCAGGGAGACCGAGGCACGCAGACCTCAGTCTCTGCAGTGGGTGCAGCTGCTGCTGGCCCCGTACACAAACCACGGAAGGTGCTGGATTCCAGGGGCACCCAGTGAGGAGGGTGCACTGCCCCAAGGCAGCCTGTCCTGTCATCTGTGGCTCCTGCAGTCCCACAGCTCGGCCGGGCCCAAAGCCTCTGAGTTGGGCTGGCCATCCCGCTTGCTGTGTTTTCCTTGGCACTTCTGAACCCCCCGCCGCCTTGCGTGCCATTGGGGTGTGAGGGATGAACAAGGCTTGGCCACCCTGCGAGCAGAAGCCCCTCCTCTCTGCTCACTGAGCCCGATGGGCCAACCAACCGCTCCCGAGGGCTGGCAGGTTGCGGGGGACAAAGAGGAGGCTGCTCCGGCAGGAGGTGGCTTGCAGCTGGCTCTCTCCAAGGCCGGGACACGACAGCCCGGGCCCTGGCTAGGGGCTCCTATGCTGCCCCCTGTCTCCTGGATGATGGGCAGGACTCTGGGGTCCCCGTGCTCAGGGTGGTGAGGCCCCCGGCACGGATGCCCATGGTGCCATAGGCAGAAGCTCACCATGGCCCTGATGTGCTTCTCCTCCAGTCCATGCAGGAGGCGACAGAGGTGACGCTGATGACCGAGGCGGAAGCTGGAGCCAGCGGCTACAGCGTCACAGGTGGTGGGGACCAGGGGATTTTTGTGAAACAAGTCCTGAAGGACTCGTCAGCTGCCAAGCTCTTCAGCCTGAGAGAAGGTGCCATGACCGCCCCTCCCTGGGGTCCCCGTGGTCCCCATCAGGACGGGAGGGGCCTGGAGGAAAACGGGCCTCACCTGCTCGGCCACTCCAGGCTGGGGCCACCGGGTGTGCTGGGCGTTCCCGCCAGTGCCGCGGGGCGGCCTCCTTCCCACGCAGGGCTCCATGGAGGGTGGGGTTGGGCTCCCAGGGCCCCGGTAGGTGCATCTCTCCGAACCATGGTGGGACTGGGGCAGCTAAGGCCTAGGGCCCGCTCTGTCTTTGTCTAGGGGATCAGCTGCTCAGCACAACCATATTCTTTGACAACATTAAATATGAAGACGCTCTCAAAATTCTTCAGTACTCAGAGCCTTACAAGGTGCAGTTCCAAGTCAAACGGAAACGTCCTGCCACAGAGGACGAGGAAGGCGCTGCCAGGGGGGCTCAGCATGGCCCGAAGGGCAGTGAGAAGCAGGTGATGCACCACAGCCGGTGAGGCTGGGCCCCACTGACCTCCACCCAAACCCTGGGGCTGAGGCTGAGGAGGGGCTCCCTCCCCACCCTCTCCTGTCCCCGGAGCGCCCCGGGCTCAGGTGCCTCGTACCAGCAGCTGCAAGTTCACTCTCCTTGTGTTTCAGGACAAAGATGTGGCTGATGGCTCCACGGAGACCCCCACACAGACCCTGGAAGGGGGAGGAGACCAGGAGAGACTGCTCGCCAAGCCCAGGGAGGGCAGACGCAGGCGGCCCCAAAAAGAGAGGCTGTCCTGGCCCAAATTCCAGTCAATAACGAGCAAGCACATGCCGGGACCGCGGAGGTCACACAGCTCCTCAGAGGCTTACGGGCGGGGAGATGCACCTGACGTGTCCCCCACGAGCACAGACACGGAGGCCCAGCTCCCAGCAGAGGATCAGGAGCAGAAGGCGGGACCGGACGGCCAGCGGAGAGGGAGGTTCCTGAACCTCAGGTTCAGGATGGGCTCAGGGAAGGGTCCGACGCTGGAGGGGCGACCAAGCAGAGGGGTCCAAGGTGGAGCTCTCCAGGCCGGGGTCGTGGAGGAGGCCGGATCCTGCGAGGACAGACAAGAGGCCCCCGAGGCCACTGTGCAAAGCAGGGGAGAGGACGGGACGGCAGAGGTACCAGCGGGGACACCCATAGAGCCTGGAGCCCCCAGCCGGGGAGCCCTGGGGGAAGGGGCCAGTGTGGCGTCTAGGCGCCGAAAAGAAACAAAGGAGGTGACAGACCCGGAGGACGCTGTGTCAGAGGGGGAGCCTGGGGTGAGCTCAGCCCCACAAGGCGGGGAGGGCCTCAGGGAGGTGGCTCAGGGCATGGAAATTGGGATTGCCAGATCGGCTCTGCAAGGCAAAGGAGACGCACAGGGCCGTCAACCAGAATTCCAAATCCAAATACCCAGTTTAAAAACACCCGTGTTTAAATTTTCCAAAGAAAGAAAGCAAGACACAGAAGGAGGCACAGCACCACTGGTCCAGGGGCACGGGCAGGGAGGGACCACGGCACAGGAGACCCGCCCCGCGGGGGCGGGGGCACCAGGACCCCAGCTGGCAGCACCCGAGAAGCCCAAAGCGCACCTGCCAGAGCGGGAAGGAGGAGGAGCAGGGGGCGCTGAGGAAGGTCACAGGGGAAGAGGGAAGAAGGATGGGGACAAGGACAAAGGAGGGAGGGAGGAGAGATGGACAGTGCTCAAGTTCAACATGCCCTCCTTCACGCGGTCGCCCAGAAAGGGCGCGAGAGCAGCCGGGGAGAAGCCCGCCCTGGCCTCGGACCAAGAAACGGGAAGCACCGTGACAGTGAAGCCACTACAGGCAGAAGGCAAAGAAATCCTAGAAGACAAAGAACGAGACACAAGAGGGGGGCAGCCACCAGGACCAGAGGAACGAGGACCGGAGCTTGAGAGGGAGCAAGGGGACCTGTCACTGGGAGACCAGGAGGTGGCCGCCACAGACGGCAAGTTCAAGATGCCGTCCTTCGGTGCGTCGGCGCCAAGCAAGGATTTGGGAACATCTGTGGACGTGTCGGGGCCCAGGGTCAGAGCCGAGGCCACACTGCCCTCCCTGGGAGGAGAGGTGCGAGCCCCAGAGGGTGCCGTCCAAGTGCCCAGTGCTGATACCGACCTCCCTGGGGAAGAGCTGGAGGTGTCCCCCCCCGAGGGAGAGGTGGCTGTGTCCGGGCTGGAGGGCAAAGCAGCAGGGGTCAAGATCAAGGGCCAGCTCCCCAAAGTGCAGATGCCCAGCCTCAAGATGGCCAAGGTGGACATCAAGGCCCCCCAGGTGGACATCAAGGGGCCCAAACTGGACCTGAAGGGCGCCAAAGGGGAAGTGAGTGTCCCCGACATGGAGGTGTTGCTACCCACCGTGAATGTGGATGCACAGGTGCCCGGTGCCAAGGTGGAGGGTGCCCTGTCCGTGGGAGACAAGGAGGTAGCTGCCAGAGAGAGCAAGTTCAAGATGCCCAAGTTCAAGATGCCTTCCTTCAGCATGTCAGTGCCAAGCAAGGATTTGGGAACATCCGTGGACATGGAAGTGTCAGTGCCCAAGGTCAGAGCCGAGGCCACACAGCCCTCTCTGGGAAGGGAGGTGCAAGCCCCAGAGGGTGCCATCCAAGTGCCCACTGCTGATATCGACCTCCCTGGGGAAGAGCTGGAGGTGTCCATCCCTGAGGGAGAGGTGGCTGTGACCGGGCCAAAAGGCAAAGCAGAAGGGGTCAAGATCAAGGGCCAGCTGCCCAAAGTGCAGATGCCGAGCCTCAAGATGCCCAAGGTGGACATCAAGGCCCCCCAGGTGGACATCAAGGGGCCCAAACTGGACCTGAAGGGTGCCAAAGGGGAGGTGAGCACCCCTGACATGGAGGTGTCCCTACCCAGTGTGGAGGTGGACACCCAGGTGTCCGGTGCAAAGGTGGAGGCTGACCTGTCACTGGAAGTCAAGGAGGTGGCTGCCAGAGACAGCAAGTTCAAGATGCCCAAGTTCAAGATGCCATCCTTTGGCACGTCGGCGCCAAGCAAGTCCTTGGAAGCCTCTGTGGCTGCGTCCCTGCCCAAGGTCCAGGCTGAGGTTTCCATGCCCTCTATCCAGGCCGACGTCAAGACCAGTGACGTGACCATTGAGCTGCCATCTGCCGACCTAGATGTCAAGACTGCCTCGGTGGGCCTGAAGCTCCCTGAGGGGCAAGAGCCTGAGGGGAAGCTCCAGGAACCCTCGGCCACAGCCGGACTCAAAGGGCACCTACCCAAGGTGCAGATGCCCAGCATCAAAATGCCCAAAGTGGACTTCAAGGCCCCCCAGGTGGACATCAGGGGGCCCAAACTGGACCTGAAGGGCACCAAAGGGGAGGTTAGCGCCCCTGATATGGGGGTGTCCCTACCCACCATGGAGCTGGACACTCAGGTGCTTGGCACCAAGGTAGAGGCTGACCTGTCCATAGGAGACAAAGAGGTGGCCTCCAGAGACAGCAAGTTCAAGATGCCCAAGTTCAAGATGCCATCCTTTGGTGCGTCAGTGCCAAGCAAGGATTTGGGAACATCCGTGGACGTGTTGGTGCCCAACGTCGGAACTGAGACCACACAGCCCTCCCTGGGAAGGGAGGTGCGAGCCCCAGAGGGTGCCGTCCAAGTGGCCACTGCTGATATCGACCTCCCTGGGGGAGAGCTGGAAGTGTCCTTCCCCGAGGGAGAGGTGGCTGTGTCTGGGCTGAAGGGCAAAGCAGAAGGGGTCAAGATCAAGGGTCAGCTTCCCAAAGAGCAGATGCCCAGCCTCAAGATGGCCAAGGAGGACATCAAGGCCCCCCATGTGAACATCAAGGCCCCCCAGGTGGACATCAAGGGGCCAAAACTGGACCTGAAAGGCGCCAAAGGGGAGGTGAGAGCCCCCAACGTGGAGGTGTCCCTGCCCAGGGTGGAGGGGGACGCCCAGGTGTCCTTCGCCAAGGTGGAGTCTGACCTGTCCCTGGAAGACAAGGAGGTGGCCATCAGAGACAGCAAGTTCAAGATGCCCAAGTTCAAGATGCCGTCCTTCGGTGCATCGGTGCCAAGCAAGGATTTGGGAACATCCGTGGATGTGTCAGTGCCCAAGGTCAGAGCCGAGACCACACTGCCCTCCCTGGGAGGGGAAGTGCGAGCCCCAGAGGGTGCCATCCTAGTGCCCGCTGCTGATATTGACCTCCCGGTTGGAGAGCTGGAGGTGTCCCTCCCCGAGGGAGAAGTGCCTGTGTCCGGGCTGAAGGGCAAAGCTGAAAGGGTCAAGATCAAGGGTCAGCTGACCAAAGTGCAGATGCCCAGCCTCAAGATGCCCAAGGTGGACATCAAGGCCCCCCAGGTGGACATCAAGGGGCCCAAACTGGACCTGAAGGGCGTCAAAGGGGAGGTGAGTGCCCCTGATGGGAAGGTGTCCCTTCCCAGCATGGAGGTGGACTCCCAGGTTCCCGACGCCAAGGTGGAGGCTGACCTGTCCGTGGGAGAAAAGGAGGTGGCTGCCAGAGACAGCAAGTTCAAGATGCCCAAGTTCAAGATGCCGTCCTTCAGTGCATCAGGACTAAGCAAGTCCTTGGAAGCCTCTGCGGATGCGTCCCTGCCCAAGGTACAGGTTGAGGTTTCCATGCCCTCTATCCAGGCCGACGTCAAGACCAGTGATGTGACCTTTGAGTTGCCATCAGCCGACCTAGACATCAAGACTGTCTCGGTGGGCCTGAAGCTCCCTGAGAGCCAAGATCCCAAGGGGGAACTCCAGGAACGCTCAGCCGCAGGCGGACTCAAAGGACTCCTGCCCAAGATGCAGATGCCCAGTATCAAAATGCCTAAAGTGGACTTCAAGGACCCCCAGGTGGACATCAAGGGGCCCAAACTGGACCTGAAGGGTGCCAAAGGAGAGGTGAGTGCCCCTGACATGGAGATGTCCCTACCCACCGTGGAGGTGGATGCCCAGGTTCCTGAGGCCAAGCTGGAGGCTGACCTGTCCGTAGGAGACAAGGAGGTGGCTGCCAGAGACAGCAAGTTCAAGATGCCCAAATTCAAGATGCCGTCCTTCGGTGCGTCGGAGCCAAGCAAGGATTTGGGAACATCCGTGGACATGTCGGTGCCCAAGGTTGGAGCCGAGGCCACATTGCCCTCCCTGGGAGGGGAGGTGCGAGCCCCAGAGGGTGCCGTCCAAGTGCCCACTGCTGATATCGACCTCCCTGGGGGAGAGTTGGAGGTGTCCCTCCCCAAGGGAGAGGTGGCTATGTCTGGGCTGAAGGGCAAATCAGAAGGGGTCAAGATCAAGGGTCAGCTGCCCAAAATGCAGATGCCCAGCCTGAAGATGCCCACGGTGGACACCAAGGCCCCCCAGGTGGATATCAAGGCCCACCAGGTGGACATCAAGGGGCCCGAACTGGACCTGAAGGGCACCAAAGGGGAGGTGAGCGTCCCCGACATGGAGGTATTCCTGCCCTGCATGGAGGTGGATGCCCAGGTGCCTGGCCCCAAGGTGGAGGCTGACCTGTCCCTGGGAGACAAGGAGGTGGCCACCAGAGACAGCAAGTTCAAGATGCCCAAGTTCAAGATGCCGTCCTTTGGTGCGTTGGTGCCAAGCAAGTCCATGGAAGCTTCTGTGGACGTGTCCCTGCCCAAGGTCCAAGCTGAGGTTTCCATGTCCTCCATCCAGGCTGACGTCAAGACCAGTGACGTGACCATTGAGCTGCCATCTGCCCACCTAGACATCAAGACTGCCTCGGTGGGCCTGAAGCTCCCTGAGGGTCAAGTGCCCGAGGGGGAATGCCAGGAAACCTCGGCCGCAGGTGGACTCAAAGGGCATCTGCCCATGGTGCAGATACCCAGTATCAAAATGCCCAAAGTGGACTCCAAGGCCCCACAGGTGGACATCAGGGGGCCCAAACCGGACCTGAAGGACACCAAAGGGGAGGTGAGCGCCCCCAACATGGAGGTGTCCCTACCCACCGTGGAGCTGGACGCCCAGGTGCCCAGCGCCAAGGTGGAGGCTGACCTGACCTTGGGAGACAAAGAGGTGGCCTCCAGAGACAGCAAGTTCAAGATGCCCAAGTTGAAGATGCCGTCCTTTGATGTGTCAGTGCCAAGCCAGGATTTGGGAACATCCATGGATGTGGAAGTGTCACCGCCCAAGGTCAGAGCTGAGGCCACACTGCCCTCCCTGGGAAGGGAGGTTCAAGCGCCAGAGGGTGCTGTCCAAGTGCCCACTGCTGACATCGACCTCTCGGGGGAAGAGCTGGAGGTGTCCCTCCCCGAGGGAGAGGTGGCTGTGTCCAGGCTGAAGGACAAAGCAGAAAGGGTCAAGATCAAGGGCCAGCTGCCCAAAGTGCAGATGCCCAGCCTCAAGATGCCCAAGGTGGACATCAAGGCCCCCCAGGTGGATATCAAGGCCCCCCAGGTGGACATCAAGGGGCCCAAACTGGACCTGAAAGGCGCCAAAGGGGAAGTGAGCACCCCCGATGTGGAGGTGTCCCTGCCCAGGGTGGAGGTGGATGCCCAGGTGCCCGGTGCCAAGGTGGAGGCTGATCTGTCCCTGGGAGACAAGGAGGTGGCCTCCAGAGACAGCAAGTTCAAGATGCCCAAGTTCAAGATGCCGTCCTTCGGCACGTCGGCACCAAGCAAGGATTTGGGTACATGTGTGGACGTGTCGGTGCCCAAGGTCAGAGCAGAGGCCACACTGCCCTCTCTGGGAGGGAAGGTACAAGCCCCAGAGGATGCTGTCCAAGTGGCCACTGCTGATATCGACCTCCCAGGAGGAGAGCTGGAAGTGTCCCTCCCCAAGGAAGAAGTGGCTGTGTCCAGGCTGAAGGGCAAAGCAGAAGGGGTCAAGATCAAGGGCCACCTGCCCAAAGTGCACATGCCCAGCCTAAAGATACCCACGGTGGACATCAAGGCCCCCCAGGTGGACATCAAGGGGCCCAAACTGGACCTGAAGGGCGCCAAAGGGGAGGTGAGCGCCCCCGACATGGAGGTGTCCCTACCCACCGTGGAGGTGGATGCCCAGGTGCCCAGCGCCAAGGGGGAGGCTGACCTGTCCATGGGAGACAAGGACGTGGCCGCCGGAGACAGCAAGTTCAAGATGCCCAAGTTCAAGATGCCGTCCTTTGGCACGTCGGTGCCAAGCAAGTCCTTGGAAGCCTCTGTGGATCCGTCCCTGCCAAAGGTCCAGGCTGAGGTTTCCATGCCCTCCATCCAGGCCGACGTCAAGACCAGTGACATGACCATTGAGCTGCCATCTGCCGACCTAGACGTCAAGACTGCCTCAGTGGGCCTGAAGCTCCCTGAAGGACAAGTGCCCGAGGGGGAGCTCCAGGAACCCTCGGCCTCAGGCAGACTCAAGGGGCACCTGCCCAAGGGGCAGATGCCCAGTGTCAAAATGCCCAAAGTTGACTCCAAGGCCCCCCAGGTGGACATCAGGGGGCCCATACTGGACCTGAAGGGTGCCAAAGGGGAGGTGAGCACTCCAGACATGGAGGTGTCCCTGCCCAGTGTGAAGGAGGACGCCCAGGTGTCCGGCGCCAAGGTGGAGGCTGACCTGTCTGTGGGAGAAAAGGAGGTGGCCTCCAGAGACAGCAAGTTCAAGATGCCCAAGTTCAAGATGCCATCCTTCGGCGTGTCAGCACCAAACAAGGATTTGGGAACATCCATGGACATGGAAGTGTCACTGCCCAAGGCCAGAGCTGAGGCCACACTGCCCTCCCTGGAAAGGAAGGTGCGAGTACCAGAGGGTGCCATCCAGGTGCCCACTGCTGATATTGACCTCCATGGGGGAGACCTGGAAGTGTCCCTCCCTGAGGGAGAGGTGGCTGTGTCCGGGCTTAAGGGTAAAGCAGAAGGGGTCAGGATCAAGAGCCAGCTGCCCAAAATGCAGATGCCGAGCCTCAAGATGCCCAAGGTGGACATCAAGGCCCCCCAGGTGGATATCAAGGCCCCCCAGGTGGACATCAAGGGGCCCAAACTGGACCTGAAAGGGGCCAAGGGGGAGGTGAGCATCCCCGATGTGGAGATGTCCCTGCCCAGCATGGAGGTGGACGCCCAGGTGCCCGGTTCCAAGGAGGAGGCTGACCAGTCCCTGGGAGACAAGGAGGTAGCCACCAGAGACAGCAAGTTCAAGATGCCCAAGTTCAAGATGCCGTCCTTCAGCACGTCGGCGCCAAGCAAGGATTTGGGAATATCCGTGGATGTGTCAGTGCCCAAGGTCGGAACTGAAGCCACCCTGCCCTCCCTGGGAGGGGAGGTGAGAGCCCCCGAGGGTGCCGTCCAAGTGGCCACTGCTGATATTGACCTCCCAGGTGGAGAGCTGGAGGTGTCCCTCCCCGAGGGAGAGGTGGCTGTGTCCGGGCTGAAGGGCAAAGCAGAAGGGGTCAAGATCAAGAGCCAGCTGCCCAAAATGCAGATGCCCAGAATGAAGATACCCACGGTGGATATCAAGGTCCCCCAGGTGGACATCAAGGCCCCCCAGGTGGACATCAAGGGACCCAAACTGGACCTGAAGGGCGCCAAAGGGGAGGTGAGTGCCCCCGACATGGAGGTGTCCCTGCCCAGCGTGGAGGTGGACGCCCAGGTTCCCGACGCCAAGCTGGAGGCTGACCAGTCCCTGGGAGACAAGGAGGTGGCCGCCAGAGACAGCAAGTTCAAGATGCCCAAGTTCAAGATACCGTCTTTTGGCGCGTCGGTGCCAAGCGAGTCCTTTGAAGTGTCTGTGGACCCGTCCCTGCCCAAGGTACAGGCTGAGGTTTCCATGCCCTCTATCCAGACTGACATCAAGACCAGTGAAGTAACCTTTGAGCGGCCATCTGCCGACCTAGATGTCAAGACTGCATTGGTCGGCCTGAAGATCCCTGAGGGCCAAGTGCCCGAGGGGGAGCTCCAGGAACCCTCGGCCTCAGGCAGACTCAAAGGGCACCTGCCCAAGGTGCAGATGCCCAGCGTCAAAATGCCCAAAGTGGACTTCAAGGCCCCCCAGGCGGACATCAGGGGGCCCAAACTGGACCTGAAGGGCGCCAAAGGGGAGGTGAGCACCCCCGACAAGGAGGCGTCCCTACCTGCCGTGGAGGTGGACACCCAGGTGCCCAGCACAAAGGGGGAGGCTGACCTGTCCATGGGAGACAAGGAGGTGGCCACCAGAGACAGCAAGTTCAAGATGCCCAAGTTCAAGATGCCTTCCTTCGGCATGTGGGTGCCAAGCAAGGATTTGGGAACATCTATGGACGTGGATGTGTCACTGTCCAAGGCCAGAGCCGAGGCCACACTACCCTCCCTGGGAAAGGAGGTGCGAGCCCCAGAGGGCGCCATCCAAGTGCCCACTGCTGATATCGACCTCCCTGCGGAAGAGCTGGAGTTGTCCGTCCCTGAGGGAGAGGTGGCTGTGACCGGGCCAAAAGGTAAAGCAGAAGGGGTCAAGATCAAGGGCCAGCTGCCCAAAGTGCAGATGCCGAGCCTCAAGATGGACATCAAGGACATCAAGATGCCCAAGGTGGACATCAAGGCCCCCCAGGTGGATATCAAGGGGCCCAAACTGGACCTGAAAGGTGCCAAAGTGGAGGTGAGCACCCCTGAAGTGGAGATGTCTCTGCCCAGCATGGAGATGGACGCCCAGGTTCCTGGTGCCAAGGTGGAGGCTGACCTGTCCCTGGGAGACAAGGAGGTGGCCGCCAGAGATAGCAAGTTCAAGATGCCCAAGTTCAAGATGCCATCCTTCAGCTCGTCGGTGCCAAGCAAGGATTTGAGAACATCTGTGGATATGTCAGGGCCAAAGGTCGGAGTCGAGGCCACCCTGCCCTCCCTGGGAAGGGAGGTGTTAGCCCCAGAAGGTGACGTCCTAGTGGCCACTGCTGATATCAACCTACCGGGGAGTGAGCTGGAGGTGTCCCTCCCCGAGGGAGAAGTGGCTGTGTCTGGGCTGAAGGGCAAAGCAGAAAGGTTTAATATCAAGGGTCAGCTGCCCAATGTGCAGATGCCCAGCCTGAAGATGCCTACGGTGGACATCAGGGCCCACAAGGTGGACATCAAGGCTCCCCAAGTGGACATTAAGGGGCCCAAACTGGACCTGAAGGGTGCCAAAGAGGAGGTGAGAGCCCCCGATGTGGAAGTGTCCCTGCCGAGCTTGGAGGTGGATGCCCAGGTGCCCGAAGCCAAGCTGGAGGCTGACCTGTCACCGGAAGACAAGGAGGTGGCCACCAGAGACAGCAAGTTCAAGATGCCCAAGTTCAAGACGCCGTCCTTTGGCGCGTCGGCACAAAGCAAGGATTTGGGAACATCTGTGGATGTGGAAGTGTCAATGCCCAGTGTCAGAGCCAAGGCCACGCTGCCCTCCCTGGGAAGGGAAGTGCAAGACCCAGAGGTTGCCGTCCAAGTGCCCACTGCTGATATCAACCTCCCTGTGGAAGAGCTGGAGGTGTCCCTCCCCGAGGGAGACGTGGCTGTGTCTGGGCTGAAGGACAAAGCAGAAGGGGTCAAGATCAAGGGCCAGCTGCCCAAAGTGCAGATGCCGAGCCTCAAGTTGCCCAAGGTGGACATCAAGGCCCCCCAGGTGGATATCATGGCCCCCCAAGTGGACATCAGGGCTCCCAAAATGGACCTAAACGGTGCCAAAGGGGAGGTGAGTGCTCCCAAAGTGGAGGTGTCCCTGCCCAGCGTGGAGGTGGACACCCAGGTGCCCAGCGCCAAGGTGGAGGCCGACCTGTCCCTGGGAGACAAGGAGGTGGCCGCCAGAGACAGCAAGTTCAAGATGCCCAAGTTCAAGATGCCGTCCTTTGGCGCGTCAGCACAAAGCAAGGATTTGGGAACATCCATGGACATGTCCCTGCCCAAGGTCGGAGCCGAGGCCACATTGCCCTCCCTGGGAGGAGAGGTGCGAACCCCAGAGGGTGCCGTCCAAGTGCCCACTGCTGATACCGACCTCCCGGGGGGAGACCTGGAGGTGTCCCCCCCCGAGGGAGAGGTGGCTGTGTCCGAGCTGGAGGGCAAAGCAGAAGGGGTCAAGATCAAGGGCCAGCGGCCCAAAGTGCAGATACCCAGCCTCAAGATGCCTATGGTGGACATCAAGGCCCCCCAGGTGGACATCAAGGGGCCCAAACTGGACCTGAAGGGCGCCAAAGGGGAGGTGAGCGCCACCAACGTGGAGGCGTCCCTACCCACCTTGGAGGTGGACGCCCAGGTGCCCGGTGCCAAGGTGGAAGCTGACCTGTCCATGGGAGACAAGGAGGTGGCCGACAGAGACAGCAAGCTCAAGATGCCCAAGTTCAAGATGCCGTCCTTCGGCACGTCGGCGCCAAGCAAAGATTTGGGAACATCCATGGACGTGTCCCTGCCCAAGGTAGGAGCCAAGGCAACACTGCCCTCCCTGGGAGGGGAGATGAAAGCCCCAGATGGTGCTGTCCAAAGGCCCACTGCTGATATTGACCTCCCTGGGGGAGAGCTGCAGGTGTCCCTCCCGGAGGGAGAGGTGGCTGTGTCCGAGCTGAAGGGCAAAGCAGAAGGGGTCAAATTCAAGGGTCAGCTGCCCAAAGCACAGATGCCCAGCCTGAAGATGCCCAAGGTGGACATCAAGGCCCCCCAGGTGGATGTCAAGGTCCCCCAGGTGGACATCAAGAGGCCCAAACTGGACCTGAAATGCACCAAAGGGGAGATTAGCTCCCCCGACATGGTGGTGTCCCTGCCCAGAGTGGAGGTGGATGCCCAGGTGCCTGGCACCAAGGTGGAGGCTGACCTGTCCCTGGGAGACAAGGAGGTGGCCGCCAGAGACAGCAAGTTCAAGATGCCCAAGTTCAAGATGCCGTCCTTCGGTGCATCAGCGCCAAGCAAGTCCTTGGAAGCCCCTGTGGATGCATCCCTGCCAAAGGTACAGGCTGAGGTTTCCATGTCCTCTATCCAGGCTGACGTCAAGACCTGTGACATGACCATTGAGCTGCCATCTGCCGACCTAGACATCAAGACTGGGTTGGTGGGCCTGAAGATCCCTGAGGGCCAAGTGCCCGAGGGGGAGCTCCAGGAACCCTCGGCTACAGGCGGACTCAAAGGGCACCTGCCCAAGATGCAGATGCCCAGCATCAAAATGCCCAAAGTGGACTTGAAGACCTCCCAGGTGGACATCAAGGGGCCCAAACTGGACCTGAAGGGCGCCAAAGGGGAGATGAGTGCTCCCGAAGTGGAGGTGTCCCTACCCAGCGGGGAGGTGGATGCCCAGGTGCCCCGCACTAAGGTGGAAGCTGACCTGTCCATGGGAGACAAGGAGGTGGCCACCAGAGACAGCAAGTTCAAGATGCCGTCATTTGGCACATCGGCACCTAGCAAGGATTTGGGAACATCCGTGGACATTTTGGTACCCAAGGTCGGAGCCAAAGCCACACTGCCCTCCCTGGGAGGAGAGGTGCGAGCCCCAGAGGGTGCCGTCCACGTGCCCACTGCTGATATCGACCTCCCGGGCGGAGAGCTGGAGGTGTCCCCCCCCCGAAGGAGTGGCGGCTGTGTCCAGGCTGAAGGGCAAAGAAGAAGGGGTCAAGATCAAGGGCCAGCTGCCCAAAGTGCAGATGCCGAGTCTCAAGATGCCCAAGATGGACATCAAGGCCCCCCAGGTGGACATCAAGGCCTCCCAGGTGGACATCAAGGGGCCCAAACTGGACCTGAAGGGCGCCAAAGGGAAGGTGAGCACCCCCGACATGGAGGTGTCCCTACCCACCGTGGAGGTGGACGCTCAGGTGTCCAGTGCCAAGGTGGAGGCTGACCTGTCCCTGGGAGACAAGGAGGTGGCTGCCAGAGACAGCAAGTTCAAGATGCCCAAGTTCAAGATGCCGTCCTTTGGCGCGTCGGCGCCAAGCAAGTCCTTGGAAGCCTCTGTGGACGCGTCCCTGCCCAAGGTCCAGGCTGAGGTTTCCATGCCCTCCATCCAGGCCGACGTCAAGACCAGTGACGTGACCATTGAACTGCCATCTGCCGACCTAGACATCAAGACTGCCTCGGTGGGCCTGAAGCTTCCTGAGGGGCAAGTGCCCGAGGGGGAGCTCCAGGAACCCTCGGCCTCAGGCAGACTCAAAGGGCACCTGCCCAAGGTGCAGATGCCCAGCATCAAAATGCCCAAATTGGACATCATGGGGCCCAAACTGGACCTGAAGGGTGCCAAAGGGGAGGTGAGCACCCCCGACGTGGAGGTGTCCCTACCCACCGTGGAGGTGGATGCCCAGGTTCCTGAGGCCAAGGTGGAGGCTGACCTGTCCGTGGGAGACAAGGAGGTGGCCGCCAGAGACAGCAAGTTCAAGATGCCCAAGTTCAAGATGCCGTCCTTCGGTGTGTCAGCGCCAAGCAAGGATTTGGGAACATCTGTGGACCTGGACGTGTCAGTGCCCAAGGTCGGAGCCAAAGCCACACTGCCCTCCCTGGGAGGAGAGGTGCGAGCCCCAGAGGGTGCCGTCCAAGTGCCCACTGCTGATATCAACCTCCCTGGGGAAGAGCTGGAGGTGTCCCTTCCCGAGGGAGAGGTGGCCGTGTCTGGGCCGAAGGGCAAAGCAGAAGGGGTCAAGATCAAGGGCCAGCTGCCCAAAGTGCAGATGCCGAGCCTCAAGATGCCCAAGGTGGACATCAAGGCCCCCCAGGTGGACATTAAGGGGCCCAAAGTGGACCTGAAAGGCGCCAAAGGGGAGGTGAGCGCCCCCGACGTCGAGGTGTCCCTGCCCAGTGTGGAGGTGAGCGCCCAGGTGTCCAGTGCCAAGGTGGAGGCCGACCTGTCCCTGGGAGACAAGGAGGTGGCTGCCGGAGACAGCAAGTTCAAGATGCCCAAGTTCAAGATGCCGTCCTTTGGCACGTCGGCGCCAAGCAAGTCCTTGGAAGCCTCTGTGGATGCGTCCCTGCCCAAGGTCCAGGCTGAGGTTTCCATGCCCTCTATCCAGGCCGACGTCAAGACCAGTGACGTGACCATTGAGCTGCCATCTGCCCACCTAGACGTCAAGACTGCCTCGGTGGGCCTGAAGCTCCCTGAGGGTCAAGTGCCCAAGGAGGAGCTCAAAGAACCCTCAGCCGCAGCCGGACTCAAAGGGCACCTGCCCAAGGTGCAGATGCCCAGCATCAAAATGCCCAAAGTGGACTCCAAGGCCCCCCAGGTGGACATCAAGGGGCCTAAACTGGACCTGAATCAGGATGCCAAAGGGGAGGTGAGCGCCCCTGACGTGGAGGTGTCCCTGCCCACCGTGGAGGTGGATGCCCAGGTTCCTGTTGCCAAGCTGGATTCATCTTCTGGGGAGGTTGAAGTGTTTTCCAAAGCAGCCAAGTTTAAATTTCCTAAAATCAGCATTTCCTCCTCTCGAACCTCCCCCAGTAAGCCTTCCCTGGTCTCTCCAGGGCTTGACATTCCTGATAAAGTTACCCAGAATTCGCTCTCCTCAGGCCTCAGAGATCCAGTTGTCTCTGGTGGTGATCAGCACGCTTTCCATATGGAAGGTGATGTCGCCTTGTCGGTTGGAAAAGAAGGAGAAAAAAGCAAAAGCAAAAAGTCCCATTTTAAATTGCCCAAAGTCTTCTCTCCACCAGGGAAAGCAGATAAAGGCTTTGTAGCTTCTGCAGAGGAAACTGAGGTCCCTTTGCCTGTGAGGGCCTCGGCGTCCCCCTTAGAGTCAGGACATGGGGAGCCCCTGGGGACGCCTGTGGCTTCCGTGGAGACTTCCCTGCCGCTGTCCAGGCCGGGCTGGCTCAGTGGTCCCCATGGGGAATCATCCTGCCTCAGTCCCAGTGAGGGTGTCACACTTACAAAATACCAGGTGACCGTCCCCAGAGGCCCCGTCCCTTCCGAGCTGCCTTGTGAAACCCCATCCAGGTCCCAGTTGCACGCTCAGCTTCCCAGCATGGCAGGTGCAGGCGACCTCCCGTCCAGTGAGAGCATTCTACTGTCCCAGCCTGACGGTCACACGAGCCCCGTGGACATTGTACTTCCCGAATCTTATGGCCGGGTGACTTTTCCTAAATTCCATCGACCAAAGTTCCGACTGTCACTGCCAACATCAGCCGCTGCAGTGGTGGAGCCTGGAGCTGCCGAGCGTGCACCCCCCACGTCCCCACCACTCGCTGCACAGGGACTGGACTCCTCCGTGGAGGAAGCCACGGCGTTCCCAGTGCCAGAGGGTCATCTGCCACCTGCAGGTGTCTCTGCGTCCACGGTGGCAGAGGGACAGGCAGGCACTGCGGGGACGTCAGCAGTGGCCCCAGAGGAAGCCCCAGCTGAAGGTGCGGGGCGCAAGGGCAAAGGCAGGCCCGTGACAGCCCCGAGGCTCAAGCTTCCCTCCTTCAGCTGGTCCCCGAAGAAGGGGGCGGAGTCCAAAGCAGACCCTGGACACAGCCCGGCTGTCACTGCAGATGCTCTGGGCAGCCCGCCCAGGGGTCCCGTTACACCTGCAGAAGCTGGTGCAGATGTGTCTCTCGGGAAGGACGGAGAGGCGGGAGCAGTCAGGACACCAGCCCTTGCCCAGCTGAAGGTCGCACCTCCCGGAATGGAGGCTTCCACACGGGGGGCCGGCCTGCCCCGGGGAGACCCAGGCCTGGCCCTTGCCGGCTCCACAGACACGGCCAGTGGTAAGGGTGGTGTTGGAGGTGCTGGCACGGCCGCAGGCCCCCCAGAAGGAGCGGATGTGAGCCTCCACCTCCCGGAGGCCCCTGTTCCCAGCGCGGGCTTTGTGAAACCTGACCTCAGCCCCGGGGATGCCACGGTAGAGGGGAGCCTGTCTACAGGCCACCTTCCTCTTCCCAAACACGGCCTGTCTCTCAGGGACAGCACCCAAGAGCACGGGCCTGGGGACAGCTCAGCAAGCCAGCTCTGTGGGGACGTGATGGCCTCTTTGGTGGAAGACCCCCTTCAGCCATCCCCAGCGGTGGGGAGCCCAGAGAGGGATGCAGCCGTGGGAGAAGCACCAGCGGGCTCCAGGGAGAGCTGGTTTAGGATGCCCTCACTCCGCCTGCCCGGCTTCGGACGCCCCCACAAAGAGCGGGTGGGCTCTGCCGGGCTGGGGGCTCAGAGGCCCGCGCCGGTGACGGCCGGTGTGCAAGGGGAAGGAGAGGCCGTGGTTGGGATGCAGAGTCCGGATGCCTGTGCACCTGCGTCAGAGGTGGACGCTGCTAAGTCCCTGCAGCCCCCCGAGGCTGGTGCAGATGGGGCAGCTGTAGGCAGCCCGGCTTCCTCCTATGCAGATGTTCTTCGGAGGGATCTTGATCTTCACGCCTCTGTGGGGCCATCAGCTTCCGAGGTCAGGGTCCGGCCGGGCGCAGGCTCCCTGCCCCTCCAGCTGCATGGGGTGCTTGCAGAGCCCCGCGGCCCTCCAGGAGAAGCAGGTGAGCCCCTTCTTCCTGGGCCAGCAGGCCAGGGCCTGGGCAGAAGGGCCCAGGGGGCAGAGGGGCCGCCTTCCCAGCCTGAGGGCCCTGTCAGACTGAGGGCTTCCAGTACGGATGTGCCATCCCAGGTTTCTGTAGTCAACGTGGGTCAAGTCTGGGAAGACTCTGTGCTACGTGTCCAGTTCCCCAAGTTAAAGGTACCGAGGTTCAGCTTCCCGGCCCCCAGCTTGGAGCCTGACATTTTCGTGCCCAGTGTGAGAGAGTTGTCATCCTGCCCGCAGAGCGGTCCTGACACAGCCCTGCTGGAACAAAGCCCTAGCGGGCGGGGCACCAGCATCCCGAAGGCCCCCGTGGCCCTCGGCCTCTCCTCGGAAGCTGCCCCCATTTGTAAGGTCAGAGTGCACATTCAGGGCGCGGAGGCTGCCAGCCGCAAGGTGGCCGTGCACAGCACGGTGACCGCCGGGTACACCGAGCTCTCGGGGCCCGAGGCCTTTCCCACCCAGATCGTGCAGGAGTCAGAGGTCCCCGCATCGGAGACCCAAACACCTTCCCGTGGGTTTTCCTTGCTGAAGGGGAGGGTCCCAGAACCCCCCCCTCGGGCGCGGGTGCACCTGGTGACCACAGAGTGCGGGCTGAGGGGGCGCCTTCGAGAGGCTCAGGAACCCGTCCCAGGAGCAGACCCCGTTTCTGGAGACCTCCAGCCTGACACCGGAGAGCCTTTTGAAATTATCTGTCCCAGTGTAGACATGCCGGGACCGCCAGCGTGTTCATCTGACCTTCACTCTGGCCATGGGCGTGCCGACAGCTGTTCTGACGAGGAGCCCGCGGAAATCCTCGAATTCCTGCCGGAGGAGGGCCAGGAGGCAGAGGAGGCCGAGGCTCCCAAAGCAAAACCTGAAGGGAGAAGGTCCTCTGGTCTGTTCCGGTTTTGGCTCCCGAGCATCGGGTTTTCTTCCTCGGCCTCCGAGACAAGTGCCGATTCCCAGGCCGATGCCCAGAGACCAGCTCCCGTGCAGACCCAGCCCGAGGCGCAGACCCCTCCCTCGCAGGAGAAGGGGGGCTGGTTCCGGTTTCCTAAGTTGGGGTTCTCCTCCTCCGCCACCAAGAAAAGCAAAAGTGAGGAAGAGGAGGTGAGTCTGGCCGAGCAGAGTCTCCAAGAGGAGGCAGGTACCTTCTATGACGCGCGAGAAAGCTTCTCCCCAGAAGAGACAGGAGCAGGGGAGCTGGCGGAGGCCGCGGGCGCCAGGCGGGGCTCCGGCACCATGGTGACCTCCGCGGCGAGAACCGAGCTGATCCTGCTGGAGCAGGACGGAGCCGCCAGCCAGCAGTCTGCACCCAGGCCCGCCACCAAATGAGGGCCGGGAAGGGGTGACTGTTCCGCAGAGGACAGACGCCCGCACCAAGTCCCGAAGCAGAACCCCGGCCACACGGAGCTCCCATCCCGACCACGCCGGTGTCCACGGCGTCCACCGCACTCCCGGACGCGGTACACCAGCCGGGCAACCGCCACGCAGCCCTCCAACGGGGCGGGGGGCCGAGCTGTGGAGCGTGCCGGCTGAGCCAGCTTCCTCCATGGCCGCTTGGGGCGGGTGAGCCGGCGGAGGTCTGCACCGTCCCGTGCTCGCACAGCCCCCACGTGCCGCTGTGCCCCCCACTGCACACGCTTCAGCCAGGCTGCCGGTGGAACCGCCCCCCCCAGTGGACAATAAAGGACAAGACACATCCCACAGCACCGGCTGCGAGGTCTTTTTATTTCTGCTCGTGCTCCGCTCACCCACTCCCAGAACTAACCTCTCCCAGGTCGCCCTAGAGGAGAGTTAGGGGTGACTCTTAAGAGTGGTCCTCTGCCTGTCGTGGGTCAGGCAGCCAGAAGGAGGCTCAGGCCGGGAGCTCAGAGCAAGGCACGCTGTCAGGGACACGGCACCATGCCCAGCGGGAAGGCAGCGCAGGGATGGAGCAGGGCAGACGTCCTTGGCCGTGATGGGGACCCATCTCGGGGGCTTCCTTCCCTTCCTCCCAAGCAGCGCCCGGGAGCAAATCCCCAGGCCGGGTACCCAGTCTCCTCCTCTCAGCCGCCCTGCGGCGCTCCTCCTGGGCCCACTGCTCGCAGCGGCCCCAGCTCAGACTGCCTCATGCCCCCCCTGGCCCGGGGGGCTCCTGGTGACCCGCTCCTATTCCCTCTCAGGCTGTGGGTGCTGCAGCAAGAGCTGGGCCGTGAGCCCTCCACCTGGTGCCGCCCTGGCAGGGAGAGCGGAGGGCTCCCCTCCCACTGTGCGCACACCGTGCCCTTCCCTGTGGCTGACGGGGGAGGGCACCCATGCTAGGGGATGTGGAATCCTCGGGAAAATGGGCAGTTCATGATTGACAAAGGGGAAGAAAGGCAGTGGGGTGTTTGTCCCGAAGTCAAGCGAGACAAGCACCCCCAGGCCGAGGCTCCCGGCCTGTCCCGTATGTCAGAGGCGGCGAGTGCCGTCCTCCTGGGAACGCCACCGTGGGGGTCTGCCAGGCTCCATGGGCTTCTTGCCTCATCTGAAGCTGGAGTCAAGGCCCGAGATATTGGGGCCTCGGTGCTGGAGGCAGGAGGGGCAGCAGAGTCTTCCCACGCGGCATCCATGCTGTGTCACGGCGTTGCCACAGGCCGGCAGCTGAAGACCGCACACATTTATGACCTCCCAGTTCCCATGGATCGGGAGTCCAAGCCCCGCTTAGCTGGGTCCTCTGCCCAGGGTCCTGCAGGCTACAGTCGGGGTGTGAGCCGGGGCTGGGGTCTCATCTCTTGTCCAAGTGGGGAAGGAGTTGCTAGCTCCACTCAGTCCTTGCAGGCTGGATGCCCGAGGGCCACTGCGTCTTGCTGGCCACTCTCGGTGCCCTGCCGCCGGGGCCTCCCTGACTGACCGGCCACAGCCTAGGAGCTTGCTTCATCCAGCCAGCAAGGAGCGGACTCCCAGCAAGACGGTTACAAACATGTCACACAGTCACGGCTGTGATGCTCCAGCACCTTTGTGTGTTCTATTGGTTACAAGCAAAGACAGGTTGTGCCCACCCCCACGGGGAGGGGATCACACAGGACATGGGTTCCAGGGGGCAGGGTCGTGAGGACCACTTTAGAGTCTATCCACCGTGGCCCAGAAGGAGTCACGTCAAGGCACCCCGGAGGACCTCCTGAGCCTCATCAAGCTGGGTCTCCTGTCGGGGGGTCTGCTTTGGAACGGGCCTTCGAGGCTGCCACTGGTGAGGGCCACTGGGCCGTTGGCTGTGGTTTTGTCCCAGCACAGCCTGGAGCACGGAGCCCTGCTAGCTTGTGGCTGACCGGCCCGGGACAACACAGCTGTGGGGCCAGCACCAGAGAGCAGACTCCCACAAGCAGCCCTGGAGAGCACATGGGGCTGCAACAGCGTCTCCTCCTGACGGGCATTGCTGTGCAGTCCACGGGCAGGGGATGCGAGCCGTGGGGAGCTGCCATAGCGGCCCCGGGGCTTGGTTTGGCCCAGTGCAGCTCACACACAGACCAGCTCCCAGAGGCCGTGGATGCCTTGCAGGGCCGCATGGGTCCGCGGCACCCTTTTCAGACCCTTGCCGGTCTGGGCAGGAGGGCAGGCTGGGCTCAGGGACCTTCTTCACCAACAAGTATGCTGACGTGTAGGGGGCCCAATGACAGCCCATCAGCTCACTCTGGGGCAGAGAGGACTAGGGGGGCAGGGAAGAGGCACCCCAGGATGTGGGAGAGCAGGGCCCTGGTGTGTACTTGATTAGCTCCCTCAGCATCCAGTGCCCCCTGGGTCACTGAGCTAGCCCCAAGCTCCAGCCTAGGGTGGGCTCCACAGGTTGGTTGGGCTCTGAAGCCTTGGTCAGAAACCAGGGGTCGAGAGAGGTCAAGGTGCGCTGAGACAGGCTTCTGACCCAGTAGAAGGGTCAGAACCCAGGTGTCCAACAGGATTCAGACCCCGCCTCTGCAGGGCAAGTGCTGGGTGCATCCCAGGACGGGGTCAGCCCCAGCAGGCCTGTATCCAAGTCCCCACCCCAGCTCGGTGCCAACACCCCACGCCCCAACCCCTGGCTCAAAACCAGGTTCTCTCACCTCTACGCACAGTGCCGAGTCCACTACACGTGGTCCTAAGGGCCAGACAGCAGCCCCGCACCCACCTCCCTCTCCAGGACCCGTGCCCACAGTCCTGGCCCCCCCCCGTCCTAGCACCTGCCCCGGCCCCACCCCCCGGTCCCTGTGAGTGCGGACTGGGCTCCGGCAGACACACAGAGCAGGCTTGCCCAGCAGCCTCACAGGGTCAGGGCTGCAGAACTCCAACTGGGGCCAGGAGGAGTGGCTGCAGCCCATGCTGGACTCACACAGGCAGGGAGGTGCTTGTGTATTCTAAAGCCCCCCTTTGTGGGTGGGTATTGTGGCTCTGTGGGTCAGGGAGGAGCATCCTGGAAGGCTCTCTGGAGGAGGTGGGGTGTAAGAGGGGCTGGTTCGGGACCTGGGCGTGAGCAAACAGTCTGCACCTGCCAGGAGTTGGGAGGTCCTGGCCCTGAGCAGGGCTTGTGAGGACGGGCAGCTTGGAGCCCCAACAGGGGGACAGGTGGGGAGGCGGCGTCCATGGGGAGCTGTGGGACCGGGGCTCGGGCGGAGCTGCACCTCAGCCCTGCCAAGCACAGTCTTGGCCCTGGGCTTGTCCGTCCAGGCCCACGGCGTAGCGGGAATCCCAGTCTCGCTCGAACAGGTGGCGCAGCCGCTCCTGCACGGTGGGCACCCCTGGCCGGGTGCTGGAGGCTCTCTGGCTGACCACCAGGCCCACCCCTGAGGTGCTGCTGAAGTAATCTTCCGACCAGTTGGAGGTGCCTGGGGGCGGTGGATGGGGTGGGGTCCCTGGGTGACCGGGCTCCCCCAGTCCCCTCTGCAGGGCCCAGTCGTGAGGCTCAGCCACGCTCTGGGGACAGAGGGGCACAGTGGCCACCCCCCGCTGCCAGAAACCCCAGCTGGGGCAGCCCCTCAGAGGCAGGAGGCCCAGCTAGCTCTCCACGCGTGTGGGGCTCCGTCCACGTCTGCCCGGGACAGCTGTCCTGACTCAGTGTCCTGAAAACTCAGTGCTCAGGCCTTCCCACCTGCCCTGGGTGCTGTGCTGGTCCTTAGAGGCCCCCGCAGACCCTCGTGCCCTTCAGCAGCCCCGCTGCCCTGAGGGGTCCGTGCTGGATATAAAAGCAGTGTCCCCTTCAGCACCCTGGCCTGGTCACTGCTTGGGGGGTCACGTCCCCCTTCTGTGGGTTTATGTGGGCTCCGCGTGTCACGTGCACAGGCTTGGCACCCCTCAAAGACTCCGGGTCCTGGGGCTGCACCACCTGGCTGCTCACCTATGTAGGCCGCCTTCTCTGTGACCATGAACTTGCTGTGGTTCACCCTGCTGAACGGGATGTTGGAGTGATTTCCCACCGGCACGATGAAGACTTTCTTGGGGGCACAGAGCGGGAGCTGTCAGGAGGGGAGGAGGGCCACCTCCCCCAGCCCGGCCCGGGGAGCAGGTCCTCACCACATCCACCGAGACACCGGCCGCAGGGTTGCTGAAAGCCTGCAAGGACCGCAGTTCGGGGAACATGCTGGGGTCCGTGTGGGGCCAGCAGCTGACCAGCAGACGCACACGCACACCCCTGTTGAAGGCGGCTGTCCGCAGTGCAGTGTCCAGCACCGGCCAGTACCTGTGGGAGGGCGGGTCAGGGTCCTTGAGCCAACGGGGGCCCTGCCTGCAAGCCATGGGTCCCGGCAGGAGAGGAACCGTGCCAGGAGCGGCCCACCTGCGGACCTCCACCCCCTGGGGCCGCCGGGGTCCTGCCCAGACCCACCTGGCTGGGTGGCTGAAGCGCGTGGTGGGGAAATACTCCATCACCGAGGCGTAGATGAACTCTCTGGCGCCCCCCATCACCGCTAGCAGTGCTTCCAGGTCCCGGGTGCGGCCATGAGGGCAGAGCATGGGTGGCGAGGCCTGTCCAGGGAGAGAGGTCCCTGTGACCCCAGCATGCACCCACCCTCCAGCACGTGGGAACGTGGAAGAAGACAAGAGGCGCTCCCCGGGGAGGTGGGGAGAGAGGGGGGAGGGTCTACACAGGGGCCTCGGGGCTGCCCTCCGTCTCGGCAGGAAAGCCTGGAAGCGGGCAGCCCACCCCCCAGCTCCAGGTTGGCCTGACTTCCTGGAACAAGGCATCTGGCTGCACCAACAAAGGCTTCTGTGTCTGCTCAGGTGCTCAGGCAGGGCCCCACCGAGGACCCCCCCCCCCCCCCCCCTGGCTCTGATGCTGGGTCTCTAAAGACCAGCCACCGGGCAGCTGGAGGGATGTCTGCTCCCACGCGCCCAGACAGAGGATCAGCCTGCCCCATCCCCCTTCCCTGCCTGAAGACCCACAGAACCACTTGATGAGCTGGTCCTCCCCGGCCCTCCCTGGTCCCGAGCTGAAGCCCCCTGGCCCCACCCAACAGGGTGTTTGGAGGCCCCCCTTCCCGGGCTGCCTGTCTCCCGTGGATGGCATGTCCTCTCCTGGAGCTGGGTCTGCGCACACCAGGCTGCTGCTGGCCAGGGGACCGCGGCCGGGTCCTGGGCACTGGCTCCCCAGGCCGTTGCCCTGAGGCCCTGGTGGGCACCGCAGCAAGACACGGTTCCTGGGGCTCTGGCAGGCCCCCTCAGCCCCTCTTACGGAGAAGTAGGCAGTGGTGGGCACCCCGTCAAAGCGGTCCCGGAGGGGCTGGAAG